AGGAACATTAATGTGATTAATTTCATGCTTAAATGGTCACAGTGTGTGTGTGTGTGTGTGTGTGTGTGTGTGTGTGTGTGTGTGTGTGCGCGCGCGTGTTTGTGTGTGCGCGCGCGCGCGTATGTGTGTGCGTGCGTGCGTGTGTGTATTTGTTTGCGTGTGTGCATCACGTGCTGCATGTCCACTGACTGATGTTAGCTCTGCATGCTACACACACACACACACACACACACACACACACACACACACACACACACACACACCTAGCTAACTGCTTGTGGTGACAACAACCATGAGGTCAGAGGCAGAAAGACCCGAAGAAGAATATGTTGACATGATTTTAATGACATTTTAATTAACCTTTTGATTATTAATTTTGTAGCTAGCTGGCTACATCCTGTAATTCAAACACACCTGACTCAGGTGTGACCTCAGTCTTTAGAAGGTAGCCATGGCAACCAGTGCTGGACCAAGTACACAACTAGAGTATCCTCCTGGTCCTCAGAGTTCAACTTCTTCAGTTCCTCCTTTAAAAAAACACTTAAGTATTCAAAGTGCTTGTTTTATTTTCACAAAGCATGAGTGCAGTGAGGAACACACGGGGCTACATTCTGCTACGAGATGTTTATTTAGAGAACTTTATTTACATTTTTTAAACTCTAACGCTCCAGATTTCATGATCTACAGCTCCAAAATAAAAGGAACAATCACAGGAACGACCACAAACTCCCTGATGAGCTGATGGGGGGGAAAACGTCAGCCATTGCGTTACAGCGTCTTTGTTGTTGTGTTTTTTTTGTGTGGTGCCGTCAGCAGTGATGGCGAAGCTCCAGGGCTTTGAGTTCTGGAGGAAGACCCTGAAAGAGGCTCGCTATGTGGTGGCCCCGATGGTGGACCAGAGCGAGCTGGCGTGGCGCCTGCTGAGCCGTCGTCACGGCGCTCATCTCTGCTACACGCCCATGCTGCACGCTCAGGTGTTTGTCCGCGACGCCAACTACAGGAGAGAGAACCTGTACAACGAGGTGTGTGAGGAGGACAGACCTCTCATCACACAGGTGAGGATCAACTCTGCAGCCGGTTTATCACCATGTGCTCCAACATTGTTCCTCGTGTGTTGCCGGTAAATGACGTGTGCGTTATTCTCTGTTTGTCAGTTTTGTGCCAATGATCCGGAGGTGTTCCTGCAGGCCGCTCTGCTGGCTCAGGATTACTGCGACGCCATCGACCTCAACCTGGGCTGTCCACAGATGATCGCCAAGAGAGGTACACACAGGTCCTGCAGAAACTGTCCTGTCATCTGTGTCTGCTCTTTTTTGTCCAAGTAAAGACACTTACAGTGATGTCACTGAAAACAAGGAAAGTAAATCTTAACTGGTCTTGATGCTGGTTTCTCAGGTCATTATGGAGTTTTTCTTCAAGACGAATGGGAGCTGTTGGAGAAAATGAGTAAGTCTGTGTTTTAATTCAGTGACTCCTGAAGGATCTCTGTTGAAATAAAGTGTTGTGCCACTCGAGGGAAATCTCCTCCTGAGTTTGATTAATGTGTGTGTTCTGTTTCCTCATCCCCCCCCCCCTGCTTACATCACAGTCAGGTTAGCCAATGAGAAGCTCTCTGTGCCGATCACGTGTAAGATCCGCGTGTTCAAGGAGACGGAGAAGACGGTCCGTTACGCCCAGATGCTGGAGAAGGCTGGATGTCAGGTGAGAGAACTTTAAATGTGTTCATCTGTCAAATCCGTCTTTAAAACAGTTTGTTTCATAGAGCGTAACAAAGGTCTTTAAAGGTCCTGACTCTGTTCCCAGCTGCTGACGGTGCACGGCCGGACCAAAGACCAGAAAGGAGCCATGACGGGGATCGCCAGCTGGGAGCACATCAAGGCCGTGAGGTACGTCACCTTCACCTTCATATTTGTTTCATGTAGAGTACAAACGTTTCTGCAGCTCCAAACTAATAATTCAGTGGTTTTTCGGTGATGGGCAGAACTGTCTCCTCCTTCAGTCAAACCTGTGACTTTTAAACCCTTGGATTTAACAAATCAAGTGACATTCTGCAAGCTCAGGCTTGTTGCATCAACACGATGTGTGTTTCAGGACTGAAAAAGGGTTTAGAGCTCAGGTGTCATCTGAGAGATCCTCTACTGTTTATTTTTTTTATATTAAAGGTCACATATTCTCCTCCTCTTCTTCAGTGTAAATAAGTCTCAGAGCTCCTCAAAACATGTTTGTGAAGTTTCTTGTTCTAAATCCACTCTGATCCTGTATTTGATCATGTCTATAAACCCCTCTATTTCAGCCCTGCTCAGAACAGTCTGTTTCTGTGTCTGTACCTTTAAATGTAAATGAACTGTGTCTGACCACGCCCCCTCTCTGAAAGGGCTTAGGTGGTCTCGGGCTTTCTCTCTCCATGTCCTATTGTTTAAGGTGAGAAGGCAGACTCAGAGGGCAGAACAAACACCTAGCTGTGGGAGTTTCACCCACCTGGGGGAGGGGCTACTGCCCTTTGTGATGTCATGAAGGGAAAATCATTTTCTGAAAAGTGGAGCAGGCAGAAGACGGAGAGGATGGACTTTTCTCATCATTGGGGGGTTTGTAGACGGGCTAGAGACATAGTTAGTGTTAGAGGAACATGGGGAAGTGGATTTTATATAACTTGAGCTTTAAAATAATTATATTAATTAATTATATTATTATATAATAATAAAAAAATAAATAATAATAATAATGTAAGGGCTAAGAGTCCTCAACCACAACGTATTTTAGTATCTCTGGTGTATTTTTATCTACAGGAAGGCGGTTAATATTCCCGTGTTTGCAAATGGAAACATCCAACACCTGAGTGATGTGGAGCGCTGCATTCAGGAGAGCGGCGTGCAGGGAGTCATGAGTGCAGGTCGTTACCACATTTATTTAACCTATTTCAAAAGTGTTTTAAGACAAAGCTAATAAAGTGAATCTGACTGTGACTGTGTTTTTTTTGAAGAGGGTAACCTACACAACCCCGCCCTGTTTGAAGGCCGCAGCCCCCCCGTGTGGGAGATGGCCGAGGAGTATCTGGAGGTGGTGAAGCAGCATCCGCCCTGCACGCTGTCCTACGTACGAGCCCACCTCTTCAAGCTCTGGCACCACACGTATGTCTCTCTCTCTCTCTCGCTCTCGCTCTCTGACTTCTGAAGTTTCCAGGAGGAGTTCCAAATAGCTGACTAGCAGCTGTGTGATTTATCTGTGTGTGTGTGTTCAGGCTACAGATCCATCAGGACCTGAGGGAGGAGTTGGCCAAGGTGAAGAACCTCGAGGGTTTGGCCAACGTCAGCAAACAGCTGAGGCTGCGATGTCAGGTAACAGAACACAGAGTGTGTAAACGCCTCACACTCCTCGTACAAAAGTCTTTTTTTAACTCAGTCTTTGTGTGTGAGCAGGAGGAGATCGCTAAAGGAAAGGACTCAGAAGAGAAGGAGAGCAGTCTGCCGTTTCCTCACTGGATCTGTCAGCCGTACATCAGACCACCGTGAGTCAAACCCCCCCGTCAGCGAGACAAAGTTTACAATCAGCGGGTTTTAAAAAGATCTGTAATCAACTGCTCCTCTCAGGCCAAAGGATCCGGTTGCCAACGGTAACGGGCAGGGTTCAGAGGTGAAGAGGGCGGTGTGTCAGAAGAGGGCACTGGAGGACTCGGACGGAGCTGCGGACACGCTCTCCAAAAACAAGCAGAAGAAGAGATCCAGAAACCCGCACAAGAACTTCTGTCCCGAACACAAACGTGAGTCCGACCTGAACTCTCAGATTGTTTCAAACGTTTTGAGAAGAATCAGGAGGATCAGCCTTCTGATACTGACCCCGCTGCCGCTTTTCTCTCTCCCTCCACAGCAAAGTACGTCAAATGTGATCAGTGCGGGAACCCGAAGGTAAGCGGCGCTGAACAGACGCATGCTGCACGCCATCACAGATCAAACACCACAATGTAACGTTTTCTTGTTTTTTCCTCTGCAGGGGAATAAGTGCGTTTTTAATCTGTGTCGAGGCTGCTGTAAGAAGAAGGCGTTCAAGGAGGTGGCCGACTGTCCCAGTGAGTACTCAAACACACCAGAAGGTTTAACGGGTAGCTGCTCACATACTCGGAGAAAAAACAGCCGCTAGACGCTCGTTCGTTTGAGCTCCTTTAAAGCTCCTTAACCCTCAGGCATCAGTTTAATTTACGACAATCTTAAGTCACTAAGGACAAAAATGTCCACTTACAAAAAACTGCTATAAAAATAGAACAGATTGATATTTTCTTCTACTTTTTTCTGCATACATCTCTTAAACAACTTCAGCCCTGCTCAAAACTAATAAATATTAAATAATTATCAGGAATTTAACCCTTTAAATGCCAGTTTGGTTTCTTGATGTCACTGTTGTAATTGAAGAAAAAAAACACAAATTAGTTATTTTCCAAGTAACAAATGTTTGGTGGCTGGGGGATTTTTTTTAAATCAGTCTTGCATATGTCAAAGATTATCCAAAATATTGACTTTGATGCATTGTTAGTTTTTGTGTAGCATCAGATTTAAAATGTAGTTCCCTGTTTGGACATCGGAGGGTGAAAATGTCCAATTTACAAAAACTGATATAAAAAATAGAACAGATTGATATTTCTTTTCTACTTTTTTTGCATAAATTTCTTAAACAACTCCAGCCCTGCTCAAAACTATCAATATTGAATAATTATCAGGAATTTAACCCTTTAAATGACAGTTTGATTACATGATTACCAGTGTTCAATTGATCTATTGAAAGGTGCATTCCAAAATTTGTAAAGAGAGAGATTTTCTTACAAAAAATGGTGCCATATGCACTAACACAGACAAAATGATGGACAGATGAAGAGGAAACATTTGAACAAAATGTCCATAGTGATGCATGAGGGTTAAAATTACTCTAACAGGAAGTGCTTTCACACCTGCACAAAACAAGTTTCTCCTCCAGCCTCCTTGTATTTATTCTGCAGGAAGTCGGAGTGAGCTGATGTGAGAACACAGCAGGATATGAAGTAATGACTCTGTCCTTCACACAGGCCACGGGCTGAGGTTCAAGACCAAGGCGGAGAAACAGAAAGCTGAGGAGGAGAAGAGGAAAGAGGAGGAGACAGAGCGGATCAGAAACTCTCCTCAGACGCTCTCTGATCCGAGTACAAATCTGCAGGAGGGGAGCAACGCAGAGCTGCAACGATGAAACGTTTCTCTAAAGATCACACCCAAGAGACTATTTAATGCCAAAAAAAAAAAGAAAAGCAGGTTCTGTCTACATTTTGGACACCTCTCTTTAGATTCAGCAGATTCCCTCTGCTGCTGCTGGGTTTAAATCCATGTGATTCTTCTGTAGTCCGAGCCCCTGCTTTCCTCTTTCTCTGATTGGTTGATCACTGTTCAAGTATTTTGCGGCGAGACGATTCGACGCAGAGAACGTTTTTACCTGTTTGGCTTTAAATCCTGGTCGGTGCTGCAGGACTTGTGTTGACCTGGTTTACTTCATTCTGCTGAAAAAGCAGACGTTATGAAACTGCGTTCTAAGGTCGCTGACTCTTCAGGTGACGGGTGTGATTTTACATTTAGGCTCAGCCGATGATCAGTCGGGACAAACAGTAAACAGCGCTGCTTAAAAACATCAACAACGAGAGTTTGGGATTTATTTAAAAACAGACGGACGTGAAAGAGAAAACCAAAAACATCAAACAACAGGTTATATTTAATTGGGTTTGGGTTCTCCAGGATTCATCTTTATCTTGGAGCTTTTATTGTTACAGTTTCTCTTTGTGTTACAGACAAACATTTTTATGAGTTTGAACATTTTGTTTCTCTGAAGTTCTTTCTGAGCCACCGACGTGGATAAGTTCAGAAAGTTGCTTTTCCTCCACGATTTTATTTCTTTTATTTAAGGTGTTGGGTGTGGTTTCAGTTTCATGATTTTAAGATCCAATCAGTGAGCAGTGTAGTGAGTAAAATGATATAGTGATCTTACTACATGATCAGACATAAAGGAAACATGCTATGTTGAAGTGCTGGCTTCTCTGACAACAATGCAGCAGCCAGTATGTCCTCCTTCTAACTTTAGATTCTGGTCCTGAATGCTCTGGATTTGTTTGGACCAGAGAAGGTAGGCGCTTTTAAGACACCCCCCACACGGCCGTTTTGGACACCCCTCGGTTTGACAGATATGAGAGCAGTTATCAGGTCAACAGGTGTTGCAGTGATGGAAGCAGGCAAGAGAAGTGGTTCAGATAGAAGTGATTGTACCCGACCTAAAAAGCCTCTGCATGTTTCTAATAAGCTCCACGAGCAGAAACGTGCTCAAACTAGGATCAATATTGGAGATGCTTTTGAAAAATGGAGAGAGGTTAGAACACAGAAAGGTTTACAGACCCATGCAGCTTCAGTGTCCACCACATGGCAACCTGTGTGAGCATTGACTCTAGAGAGGAGGAGGGGAGACAGCTCTCTACAATGTTTAGAATTTAGACTGCAGTACCCATTTTAAACACTAGGGGTCAGAGTTACATATCGCTCCTTTAATCTGGGTAACTGTTTGCAAACGAGTCGTTAATTTTGTTCGTGCCTTTAGAGATGAAGTGCCACTGCCGCTCCAGAATCCTGAGCTCGTTAGAGAGGAACGTTGTGCTTCAGCTGCTCGGTGACGATACGATCCAAACATCTGAGTTTATGGTGCTACCTGCAGAACTTTGCGTACATCGAACAAAGAAAAAACAGAACCCACAGGACATGTTTAATTTAATGAATCAACTTTGATCCTCAAACTGTATTTTTATATAACTGGAAATTTAGAGTGAACTATTAGAGTTTAAATTAGAAAAAAAGAGTCTTATTTACTACAAATCAGCTTTAAATGACTGAACGTGTTTGTTTTTTAATCAGCTGTGATTAAAGAAACGACACACCCGTCATCAGAAACATATCAAAGTCTTTGTGGTTAGAGGGATTTTAATGACATCACTTCCTGCCTCTGTTGGTCTCAGACATATAAAATCAAACTTGTGTAAAATTTGCCTTTCATCAGAACGCTGTTACGATATCATAAAGAATAAAAAGAGACAATCCTCGAGTCACATGTTGTATAGTTTCCATTTAATGCTGCAGGAGAAGATGGATCTTTATTTTTGGGATTGTTATCTGCTATATTTGAAAAAGTGTCATTAAACAAATCTTACATTAGATGGTGTCTTGGGTGGTTTTAGTGAACTCTGCTGGCCACTAGAGGGAATTACACTGATGTCAGGGTGCATGGTAAGAAGAAGCAGACACACAGGAGAAGTTAATATGTCATCATGTGCAGCGAAATGAAGAAACGTGAGTGGACACAAATTTATTTAAACTAAAACAGTAAATCTCAATTGAATGAAACCTTTATTGCCCCTAGGGGAATTTGCCTTTCACAGAGATCTAAAAAACACAATACAAACAAAAATTTACAGGACAGCACATAAGAACACATAAAAACACACGTCCTGTATAATCAGTTCTTATTAAGCAGCTGAATACTGCGCAGTACAAAGGATGTAATGCCTTTTTTAGTCCTCATCCTGGGCATTCTGCACCTGCGCCCTGAATTCAAGAGTTCATACTCTGACCAAAGGAGGTGCAGAGGGTCAGCTGTGATCTTGATGGCTAAATTCACTGTGTACCGGTCTGTCAGGAAAGAAATGCTGTACATTTGCTTCCCAGTTATCTTGCTGCCTAGTTTAACAACCTTGTCCAGTTTATTCCTATTTTGTAAGGACAGTGCTCCTCCCCCACATTGAATACATAAGGTCAGCACACTTTCAATAAAAGTCTTGTAAAATAATTTCAGCATAGTGCTGTCAACATTAAAATGTTTTAGTTTCCTCAAAAAGTAGAGGCGCTGTTGAGCCTTTGCATACCTTGCTTTTGTGTTGGTGTTCCATGTCAGTTTGTTGTCAATTATTGTGCCAAGATACTTATACTCTGGTACAATTTCAATTTCTGTGTCCTTCATATTTACAGGGGAGAGAGATGACTGTCTTCTAAAATCAGTAATAATTTCTTTGGTTTTCTTTGTATTTAAAATCAATGTATTATCAGAGCACCAGTTGTAAAAGTTGTCTAGCTCAGCTCTGTAATTGGTCTCATTGTCATTTAAAAGACCTATCAGAGCAACATCATCTGCATACTTATTTAATTTACAGTTGTCATGATGACTTGTACAGTCATTGGTGTACAAAGTAAACAACAAAGGTGAGAGGACACACCCTTGTGGTACCCCAGTGTGAGTGCTAATTACTGAAGAGTTTTTCCCATGGATGGTAACAAACTGCTGCCTTTCAGAAAGGAAGTTATGAATCCACCTAATAAGGGTGTGGTTAACTCCCATACTACACAGCTTCACAGCCAATAGTTGTATCTGGACAGTGTTAAAGGCAGATGAGAAATCAGCAAACAGTATACGCACATAAGATGATGGTGTTTCCAAGTGTTTATAAACTTGGTTAAGAAATGCAGCCGTTGCATCCTCAACACCTCTCTTTGCTCGATATGCAAATTGTAGGGGATCGATTTGACTGTTTCAGACCTTAAGTAAGGTAAAACAATGTGCTCGAAACATTTCATGACAACTGAGGTCAGAGCAATGGGTCTAAAATCATTGAATTCAGAGGGGCTTGTCTTTTTTGCTAATGGGATAATTTTAGATATTTTTCATGATTTTGGGATTAATTGTGAATTTAAGGGAGCTTGGAAAAGTTGTGTGAACACAGGACCTAACTGCTTACAGCATTTTTTAAGTGTATTACCGTCTAACCCATCTGGGCCGATGGATTTCCTCACATTAATCTTGGAAAAGGCAAACTGCACTTCCTCAGTTGTTATTTGAATAGGAGTGCCATATTTTCTCCAGTCTGCCTCAGGAATCATATCGTGCAAAGAAGTTGTTAATGTCATTGGCAAATTCAATTGTATATGAAGCATTATTCTGTTCGGAGTTCAAGCCAATCATTGTTTTAATTCCACGCCAAGCCTCCCTTCCTTTATTGTCTGTAAGTAGTTGCTCAACTTTAGCTTTGTAGTCCATTTTTGCTTCGTTCATTTTCATTTGTATATCTCTTTATATTAGTTTCCCTTTATGTCTGTCATTTATTTTAAAAGCTTGTTGTTTTTCAATTAATTTTTTTTTTATCTCAGCGGTAATCCAGGGTTTAGTTTTTGCATATATTTTTGTTTGTTTGGTAGGGATCACATTATCTACACAGAAATTAATGTAAGATGTTACTACATCAGTATGTTCATTTATATCTGTGCATTCAAACACTTCCCAGTCGGTACATTCAAAACAGCCTTGTAAAGCAAGTACACTGTCATCATCCCACACTTTCACAGATCTTGAGTTTGGTTTTCCAGTTTTCAATTTTTGTCTAAATGATGGTAGCAGAAACACAGTATCGTAATTCAACTTTCTGCACAAGTTAAAGGAATAAAGTAAAATCAAGAAGATGTACTTAAAATGTTCAAAGAATCAGATTCAGTGTGCTGTTGGTAACCCAGCCTTTTCTAGTACCATATGGACCCGGACCATCAGGGTACCCCCTGGTCCTCAGGTCGACCTGGGTTCCTTAACCAGTCCATGTTTGAAAATGGTGTAGGATGAAGTTAAATAACTTATCCAGTCCTACCCCTTTTATCTTTTAAGCTTAATAAATTAATCCAAGACAAGACATTCTAGTTTAAAAGATCAGATATTTAACTTTATATATATATATATATATTTATATATATATATTTATTTACTTTATGTGGAGAACGTCTCCTGCAGCTCAGATCGTCTGGAAGTTATTTTGTGTGCAGAAACAGAAACAGACAAAAAGATAACTGACATGTTTTTGGTTTATTGATCATTCACAGGAATGCGTTCTTACTGCAGGGTTAATATTGCACATTACAGGACGATAATACTACAGGTGTCCTTTTAGAGATATATGAAAACACATCGTGAGTGAGCGGAGAGATTAAGCACAGCTCTACAGAGAGGAAGAAGTGCAACGATCACGTTTAAAGCAGCAGCAGAAGAGAGAGCGAGAGAGAGAGGTCACACTGAGGAGACGATGTGTTTACATCAGGATCGGATTGTTTAACCTGCTTTATTTGATATCTAGGTGTTTTTAAAAGTGACGGGTTTAAGCCCAGATGCAGGAGGTCGGGCACAGACACTGACTCTTAGCAGCCGGAGATTTGATCACCAGATCCCTGACGATCTCCACGGTTCCAAACAAGGGGAACAGCTTCTCGGTGAAGCTCTCGTTGTAGGTGTAGATGTGCAGGTGTCTGTCGGCGTCGTAGAACGACAGCTGGCCACAGTTGTAGTCGAGGTAGACACCCACCTTGCGGGGGATGAGGCCCGGCGGCAGGGCGGTGTAGGGCACGGTCAGCGCCTTCAGCTCGCTGCCTCTCTCCAGCCGCAGGCTCAGGTAACCCGTGTCCGTGTTCAGGGACTTGAACCCTTTCCGCAGGGCCGACTCTTTGGCCACGCCCAGGCGCCAGTCCCGCTCGCCCACCTCCACCTCCCAGTAGTGACGGCCCGAGCCGAAGCCCTCCACCCCGACGGCGCACCACCAGCCGTCAAACCTCTGGTGGTAGTTTGGGATATCCTTCCTCTCAAAGCCGCAGCGCATCTTCTTCTCGTTAGTGATGAGCAGGTCGGGGTTCGCCGTGTCCAAGTCCAGAGTCACCTCCACTGCAGGTAAACATCACAATTAACAACAATACAGGTAAACATCACAATTAACAACAATACAGGTAAACATCACGATTAACAACAATACAGGTAAACATCACCTGGCTGGGTTTATATTAACCCCCTGCTTCAGGTTCAGATTAAGGTGAGTCATGAATGTTTTACCTGCAGCGTCTGAGATCCAGTCCCACACTGTAAGAGAGAAGAGAAAGTGTTTACAACATGCTGCTGTGTGTGTTACCTGACTCTACAGGTGTGGTTTAAAGGCTTTATATGTGATGTTTCACACTTAAATGTAATATAAATCAAGTATATCCTCTGAAAATAACTCTGTGAGTCATGACTGTCTACAATGGGTGTAACACCAGAGTCCCACTGTCTGTGATGTTTTCAGAGTTTTCTGAGTCATATCTTCAGTTTGTTTACATCGCCAGGACGGCCAGCTGACTCCTCCCCTCGTGTATAAAAGTTGTTTAATTGAGGGACTAGAGAAAAGAAGAATAACATACTGTACTCACTGCTTAACTGTGTTTCTAGATCACGCTCATTTCAGGTAAATTTACATGCAGTGTGAAGATACGAGCATAATAAAGCTCGCTAGCATTAGCATGCTAACACAACAATGCAGCTCGAATTGTTTTGGTTTCATGCTGGTGCTCAAGGGCGACATCTGCTGGATCAAGAAATCACATATAAAGCCTTTAATTGAATGACTGTTAAAAAAATCTTCAGGTGTTCATGCTGACGTGCAGCGCTCACTCACCTGGCTGAGGAACGTAGGAGATGGCACCTGAAGGGAGATTAAAAAAAAAACAGACTCATGAAACCTTCTGATTCAGATCAAACTTGATCTCAGTAACTCAGTTTAGATTTTTACAAACCGATCTTCTGCATGCGCTGCTTCCACATGAGCCACTGCTGCGGTATGGTGTCCTGCAGGGACAAAAGAGGTGTGTGTGTTAACACCTGCACAATCGAGACAGGAGCTGCAGGTAACACACGAGGAGTACATCGCTCACCTTATCGGGTCTCTGCAGCATCAAAGTCCACATCACAAGCTCCATGGCGGTCTGCAGGTTCGGAGCGCGGCCCCAACGCCAGGCAGACTGCAGGTCGTCCAGAACCTTTGCTACTGGTTCACCGGGCCACACGCTCTGCTGCAGGGGGGATGAAGGTGTTAGTCAGAGGAATAGAGTCAGTCATGTCGTCGGATGAAACACCTTGGGAGGGGAGGTGATAACCCCAGTGATGTCATCACTATTTCTGTCCATCAGCCTAGATGGTTGAGTTGCTGGGACCCTTTGCTGCATGTGTGTCCCCACTCGTTTCTCTCTTCTCCTGTCATACTTAGTGTTTTTTTACTAAATTGACTTCGCTTTAATGTCCTGTGAGCTCTTTTTGGTTTACAGGAAGCCAGATGAACCCCCCCCCCCCCCCCGACTCTAAATGAGACAATAATTTACTGACTGAACATCACACTGTCTTGAAGAAGACTTGAAACTTGACATTGAGACGATAAAGTCAGGGGGGGAAATGTTTACTGAGGGAATAAATCACAGAGAAGAATCAAAGTGACTTCTTCTTTGTGCAACCTCCTCCTGCTGGCCAATGGGAAGAATGCAGATTTATGACCTCACTTGTGCAACAAAAAAAGAGTCCCCACCTCGGGCTGAGCCCTCAGGTCCTTGATCCAGGTGAGGATCACAGACTTGGCCTGCAGAACTTCCTGCTCGTTGATCGCATCAGAATGTTTGACCTCATCGATCTCCGGCCAGCCGTCCGTCTGCATCGGCCTCTTCTGCAAACACACACACACACACACACACACACACAGCTGCAATGAACAGAGCTCTGCACACACACACACACACACACCTGGAGCAGGTGTAGTCCCAGTCAGAGGAGTACCTTGCTCTCTAACATGGAGGCCCACTGCAGGATGAAGACCCTGCAGAGAGACGAGGGCCAGGTGTCGTCCAGGTTCCAGATGTGCTCCAGGGCTGACGACCTCTGCAGAGATGAGAGAGAGAGAGAGAGAGAAACATGGGGCGAGTTGGAAATGACCTCTTCAATTTATTCTTTGTGTTTATATTTATTTTTAGAGGAAGGGTTATGCCTTTATTAGAGAGATAGGACAGTGGAGTCAGGGATCTGGGGGAGAGAGAGAGGAAAATGACAAGCAGAAAAAAGGAGCCACAGGTCGGACCCATGCCTCTGCCTGTTTAGTAACTCAGTATGTCTGTTTGTTGGTTGAACTGTTACCTGACACACTCGGCTGAGGTCTCGGGCCAGATCCACAATAAACAGCTGATCCTCATCCAGAGGCTGCTCCTTCTTCGCCCTCTTGTTCGACTCCTGCAAGAAAAAAAAAAAGGTTTTCTGTAGGAAACAGTTTCAGAGAGGAGAGGACAACCAGAGGACATGAGAGCTGCTTTACATGATCCTCACAGAGTAATGAGGTCAGACTAGACAAGAACCGGACACTCAGGCTGATCAACATGCACAAGGAGGCTCTGCTCCTGTCAGCAGAAAAACAAAGATACTCCCCCTCCCTCCTCCAGACTCCCTGCTTCATTTCACTTCCCCCCAAAACTCCCCCCACACAGCGGCTCTGTCTTCTTAAAGTCAACCAGAAAAACAAAAACAAAATGTTTGTAGCCTTATTAGCACATCAAGTACGTCCCAAAAACCAGACTGTAAAATCTTGTTACCTTTATCTTAGCCGTTAAAGTTTTGGCCGGCTCCACCATGAAGTGAAAACACTGCATCATCTTGGCTGCTGTGTTTCAGATTCCTACAGAGAAAAAAAACAACACAAAAACATGTTAGATTAAATCTTAACAACCTGCAAAATCTCTGATTTCTGTTTGTGTTTGCAGCCAACAACATCTGGAAACAGGATGTTAGTAGCTACATGGTTATATCAAGCAGCAAATGAAGTGCCAAAAACTGCAGTTCCTCCAGCGTCCACTAGAGTCTGTCTCCTGCAGTGAGTCAGTCTCCATAGAGCCCCATGTTAAAATGTCCAACTTTACAGCTGCAGTTCCTCGAGTGTCCACTAGAGTCTGTCTCCTGCAGTGAGTCAGTCTCCATAGAGCCCCATGTTAAAATGTCCAACTTAACAGCTGCAGTTCCTCGAGTGTCCACTAGAGTTTGTCTCCTGCAGTGAGTCAGTCCCCATAGAGCTCTATGTTAAAAACAAGCTTCTTTGGTTTTGGTGACACAGTTTCTGGTCCTTGAAAGGACTCGTCTTTGGAGTCGGCCTGAATCACTGGAGCTTTAATGTTGACATCCCAAACATCGGCGTGTTGTTGTGTAAATCATTCAACTCGTGATAGAGAGTTCACGTGGGGCTGCACAAAGAACAACATCAGTGTTTTCATAAACAGATGATTAAGAGCGATGTCACGCTCGCTGTTCAGCACGGCGAGAATCGTTAACAGAAAAAGATTTCTGATTGGACATGACGAGGATCAAACAGGAGCCCAGACCTGATGGTTAAACTGGAGCTGGACTGCAACGTGACACACACACACACACAGACACACACACACACACTCACTCACACACACACACACACACATGCACACACGCACAAACACACAGACACACACACTCACACACACAGGCACACACACACACACACTCACACTCACACACACACACACACACACACACACACACACACACACACAGGCTCACACACACACACACACACACACACACACTCACACACACACACACACACACACACACACACACACACACACTCACACACACAGGCACACACACACACACACACACACACACACACACACACACACACACACACAGCTGCCTGCCAGTCTGGCTCTCTCTCTACTTCTCTTCTTTTTTTACCCCTCCCTCGTTTCTTATAAAATCTGTCTCACTTTCTCTCCGCGTCATCGGCAGAAACCCACGAGCTCGCTCTCTGTCTACTCGGCCTTGAAGCTGATTGGACAGCAGAGTCCAGTTCACAGAGTGATGTAAGGTGGTCAAAATGTTTGTCATATTTCAGCACTACGTGTTTTTAAATAACATAATCTGTCATTTTAATGATCCTTTGTAGAGCCCGAACGATTAATCGGCCAGCCGATAATATCGGCCGATATTAACATAACCAGTGCCTATCGGTATCAGCTAATCGTATCGCAGATATGCGCCGATATTTATCGATTTATTCACGAGACAAATAGCATTACATATGAGTTTCATTTTATTACAGTTGCAAAGATAGATAGAGCCAAGAAAGATATCAGCCACTATATCGGTATCAGATTTTTCGTGTCCCTATTATCGATATCGGTATCAGACCCAAAAATCCCCACTTCGGTCGGGCCATGATCGATATCATCCAAAAGGTAACCAGGTGTGCAGGAGAGGGAGGAGTCCATGAAACATCGTGAGCAAACTCCTGCACGCTCTCTTAACTGCACAGATATGTCGGCGACATTTCGATATTAGCGCAATGTTTTATTAGTATTCAAAAACCTTTTGCCATGACAACAGTAGACTGACTTCAACCAGTTCAAGTCAATGAAATTAATCTCTAATTTTATGGTTCATAAACAGTCCTGGTGATGATGGACTCTGACCTGTGATATGAGCGGCAGCAACAGAGATATAAATACATGAAGGCTACTTTTTACAACATCTTCTCGGTTTACAAATCGATTTTTCTCGTAGGCCTATTTGTTAAATGTTGCCTTTAATGTTTATGTTGTAAACGGAGATTCTGTGATGCAGATCTAATGTCAGACTGTCTCAGAGTAACATCCTGTCGATCAAGTATCTTCTCAGACCTCGTCGTGAGTTAAACTCTGCAGGATTTTATTGAAATCTTAGTTTCACACTTCAAGCTGCATGATAACTCAAATTAATAATGCAACTCCTCCACCGAAGTAATTACTGATATGATTGTTGTTTTTATTTGATTCATCACGTGACTATTCTCCCCTGTACCTGACTTCTGAGCTGCTTACACAATAAAGCATCTTATCTTCTGTATGTGGGTCAAATAAACAAGTCCATATGCAACAACGCTGATTCACGCCGAAGCTGCACAACAAAAACACTGCGTTACATTTTTGGCACATAATTGAGCAGGATTTGGGAGTTGCAGTGTCTGAGACCTGCAGAGGAAATGCTCCATCAGAGAGTTTTATGACTGAGGTGGGAAATCATGACCCAGCAGATTCTGCAGAGAGAGAGAGAGAGAGGCTGAGCTCGAGGCCAGCTGATGACTGCGCATGATGCAAACACTCACCTGTCGTGTGACTTTGCGGCAAAGCTGAATAATAGATGCAGACAGACTCACTCCAAACATGTTCACCTTCAGCTGATCATCCATTAAAAACACATAGTTTATACCTGAATGCTGCTACTGTTGCATAACTCTCTGCCCCTGCAGTCCTTCCTGCTAAAATAACAAACAGTCTTACAGACAGCTCACCTGTCTCCTCAGGTGTTTGTTCTGGAAGTTTTCTTCTTGTGTCGCCCGCAGAGCGAACAGCAGCCCGGTGTGTGAAGTGTTTGTCTGACTGCTGCAGTGTCTCTGACCTTGTTTACACACCAGACTGACGCTCAGCTGCTCGGGCAGGTTCGGTTTTGTCCGGCGGTGACGATCGAGGATGTGAGGTGGACACAGCGAGCGGCCATCTTTGTAAGGTCGTTATAAGGACGTTAAGAAGTCCCGTTTAAAGGAACAATCTCTTCTCGTACAGTGAGATGTTGCTTTAGATCCTTCAGCAGTTGAAGTGCATTTACTTTGTTATCAGTTTGATCTGAGGTGTTGGTACTTCATTTTGACTAATCTAAGGTACTTCCACTTTCCTGATTGGACCAGAGAAGGTAGGCGGTTTAAAGACACGGTCGTTTTGGACGCCCCTCGCTTTGCCAGATATGAGAGCAGTTATCAGGTCAACAGGTGTTGCAGCGATGGAAGCGGGCAAGAGAAGTGGTTCAGATAGAAGTGATTGTACCCGACCTAAAAAGCCTCTGCATGTTTCTAATAAGCTCCACGAGCAGAACATGACCGCCCAGCTCACACACGTATTTCCTGCTTATCCACAAATAGTGAGCTGATGTAGCTTTAAGTGGCAGTGGATCTACTGAACTTTAAATGTTTGTTTTATATGCTTGACTAAGATAGAAAGTCAACAGCGGATAAACAGCCCTATAAATGTGTTTATTACGTCGTTTCACATGAGAAATAAAGAGGATTCATTTGACTTTAATAAATACTCAACATGATGACTCTCAGGACAAACAGACAAACTTTGACCGTGAACTTCGTGGTCGTTTAAAACAACAAATCAAGTCCTGACACGGATCCTCCTTTGTTATTATTTCACTCCACTTCACGCTGTTCTACAAAGCTTTTCGTAATTGTGCCCGAGATTTTAGAAAAACTGACGCAGTAAAAAACAGATAAAATGTTTGATTAGGAAATGAGAAATCATTCATCTGTGTGTCATTATTACTTCATGGAGGGCAATCTTTTATAAGCGGCGCCTCCTCAGCAGCTCAGACATGAAACTATACTGTTGATGTTTCTGAATCATGAAAAAAAAGGAAAGAACAGAAAACAGTAGAGACAGACCTTTATGGGATGTTCGAGGCCGATACAGCAACATAACAAAAGAACATTAATTACATTCTTTTAAAAACATCACACATTGTAAACGTATTTATTTGCAGACCTGTTAGCTCAGCTGTGACGCTCCGCACAGATTCAGAGCGCCCTCTGCTGGACAAACTACATAATGTCACCATTTCTTAATCAACCATTGCATTGTCTTTTTTTTTTTTGCACTATTATTCAGGTCTGGTGGCTGGAGAGGTGCCAGGTCACATCCAGAGTGCAACCTTGAACAAGGCACCAACACCTCAAACAGCTGTGGCGTTCTCCCTGTGTAGCAGCCGCACGCTGACATCCCTCCATTGATGCGTCCTGCAGGCATGTGTGTCTTTCAGGCCTGTGTGTGTGAGAAGCATGCCTCTCAAATCGGTCCTATCTAAAATATTTACACTGTTACAAACATTTCTATGACAGGTCGACATCAACAATAATATCAGAACAAAAAGACTCTAATCTCATGTGAGCCTTAAAAACAGTAAAAAAAAAACAAGTGATCACTGACAGATTAAAATCACATTATAAGGAGGAGTTTTCGTTTTGGTTTGTGTTAGTCCTGACTTTATGGAGATGTTCCAGCCACCTCAGTCAAAGTTCAGTGATTCTCCTCATTAGTCACCCTCTGTGTAAAGAACAGCAGCTGATATAAAGAGTTTCAAACATTCACATGTGTCCGGTCTGCTGCTCCTCTTTGGTTTCTCTACAATCATCAGTCTCTCAACATTAAACTCTTTTACGTCATGAGGTATCTGACTCCTCTGAAGGCTCCGGTCATCGTCCACATTCAGCCTGATGAGACCCTGATGAGGGTCACATGGGTAGAGTGTCGCTGCCGACCTGATGAGGTGCATCAAGCCCGGGGTTGGTGTAGAAACTGTGAGGAGGTGGGAGGTCCGGAGCAGAGGAGAGGATGTCGTACGGCAGCTCCACAGACTGGCGGAGGCTCTCCTCGTATGTCGGAGGAGGCTGCAGGAAAAACAAGACCGATTATTCAATTAAACTGAGTCGGAAAAACAAACAAAGAAGAACAAACACAGAAATGAAAACGTATTTTCTCAAAGGTTGGAATTCATCCCTCATATTGTGCTGCAGACAAAATATTGCCTCCTTTCTGCAGAGATCAATCAAACTTTATTTGTATAGCACCTTTCAGACAAATTAAATTGCAGTTCAAAGTGCTTTACAAGAGTGCAGAAAAGTTATTGACGAAAAAAAGTTGTTTATAAAATCACTGAGAGACTAATGCACACCAATAAGAATTTAAAAAATAATATATATATACATATTAAAATGAACAAATAAAATATGACACATTAAAGCAATAAGATATTAAAATTAATACATAGGAGAAGAATATTTAAAATTGAAGTAGGATAAAAAAGACAATACAATAATGTTAAGATTTGAATTTATATAAAAGCCAGACTGAATAAATGAGTTTTAAGACTCGGCTCCTCTCAGACCTTCAGGAAGGTTGTTCCACAGTCTCAGAGTGTAACAGCTGAAAGCAGCATCACCAAAAGGTTTTTGTCCTGCTCTGTGGAAAGACTAAGAGAGAGGAACTGATACAAAGTCTGGTCCTTTACATAAAGCAGGACAAACAGCTCAGGCAGAGTCTGAGCCCACCCCCCCCCCCCTCCTGAGTCTCCATCCTTCCAGACCAGCCCACTGACCACATCCTCTCCCGTCATAATCTCCAAAAACCATCATCTGACTCATCGCTCATATGATCGATCACTACACATCTGAAACGTGCTCCTTGTTGCTGAAAAAAAGAGAGAGAGAGAGAGCGTGTTTCCCCAGGATGAACGTGTTGCATCTCAAAGTTGAACATCTTTCCTTTTAAAATATTTGACATGATGTTTGTATGAAACATTATTAATTAATCATTAATCATTTCAGTGTTTTATCTCTGTGATTCACACTCCCCGACTAAAGCTCCTTATCTTTTAATTACTTGGAGACCCTCAGGCGACAAAGAGCAACCCCACTGCCCTCTGCCTGACACACACACACACACACACACACACACAAAGTTTTACTGCTACCCTGCCTCAGGATGCTGGACGGACAGGCTGAATTTAGGGTCCATCATCTGAACTCCTGCGATGGGGGGGGGGGGGGGCTTTTGAGTGACTAGTGATGGGCTGGCCTGAAAGTGTGTGTGAGTGCTTTCTTTGTGTGAGTGTGAGTGTGTGTGTTTGTGTGTGTGTGTGTGTGTGTGTGTGTGTGTGTGTGTGTGTGTGTGTGTGTGTGTGTGTGTGTGTGTGTGTGTGTGTGTGTGTGTGTGTGAGCTGGGCAGTCATGCTGGGGACTGTTTAATTAAAGGAAAAAAATGGGAGGTCGAAAAAGGAGGAAGGCAAAAAAACAAAAAGGGAGAAGCAGACGGGAGCGGAGCGCTGCATTCCCGGCCTCTGTTTGCTCTCAGGATGCGGCTTTAATTACGTCGGAACCTTTTTCTCATTACCTTGTTTGCTCGAGCGTCCTGCGAGTCAAAGGCTCAGAGAAAGATCAACACGGTGAAACCTTTGAAACGACCGTCGCTGGGTACAATTCAGCCAGCAGCATCTGATGAGCTGATAGAGCGCCGTGTTTACCGCAGCCTTATCTCTGAACGAGCTCCTGTTACAATATTGTTTGACAACGCGGCCCTAACAGAAAAGAAACCTTTTTATTAAGCTCTGTATTCACAGTGAGACGAAACATGAAGCGCTCTTCATAATGAGACGAGTTTAATGGAGCTCCTTTGACCCACAGATAGGAGTCTTTTATACCGCCACTGTCCAAACACCTGTCCTAGTCAGAGGAGCAAACATATCGTTTAGTCAAGTAGAAGAACGGATACTTGAGTAAAAACGACTCTGAAGCTGAAGCGGTGACTTTCCTTCTTTCCTGCTGTGAAAGTGTTTCAATGTCGGCTCTCAGATGTCCTCACAGTGTCAGAGGTACAAAGTGTCTCTGAAGTGGCCGTGTGTGTGCAAAGAAGCTCAGCTCAGATTTAGAGAAACTGAAATCATTCTGATTTTCAAATTAAAGAACGACAGAGTGAAATAAATGAATGTTCACTTTGCTCACTTTACTGTAATATTTAAGTTGTTGCTAGTTCTGTTTTATTTCCTTGTTAATTGTTTAGCACCAATACACCAAGTCAAATTCCTTGTATGTGTAAATGTACTTGGCAATAAACCCCGATTCTGATTCTGATTCTGATTCTCAGATGTTTAAATTAGTCTCTCTCGCTCTCTCTGTGTGTGTTCTGAATCTGCTGCTCGCCATACGTCGGCCATGTTGGTTGTTTCACTTTCATCCACACGGCTCCAAGTTGTCCCTGTCGCGTTCACCAGTCAGTTTTGTCTTTAACAACTTTTTCCTCCACCAAGCAGTCCGGTTTGGTTCAGTACAGTTCAGTTCATTTTGGTACAGTTCCTATATTTGGTAAGCGGAGTGTAAGCCAGATTTTTTCATTTATTGATTTGGGTAACATTCCCAACTTTTGACGGTGGAAGCGCCAATTAATGGTTACCGAACTAAACTGAAGCAGATCGCTTGGTGATTAAAGGGGCTTTATTTAAAATAATAGATTTGTATTTTTGGGGTTTTTCTGTCCCTTCCATTGAGGTCTAAAGAAGTCCTGATGTCTGGCGGGCTGCGTGCGAAGATGCAAAGTAATAAACATTTTCCTAAAATGCCTTAAAGGTTAAAACAAAACTAACCTCTTTGAAATGTTAGAAGTAGAAAGTTCAGCACACAGGTGAATCATTGTCATGGCACCTGAAAATCTTCACTGTCAAAGCTTTAATGACTGTATCAAGGACTGTCACCGCCCCCCCTCCCCCTAATCCCTGACTGAACCCACCTCGCTCACAATGGGTCCATTGAGGCCGAAGCGGTCTGCGATCATCATGTGGATCTGCCTCTGGCGGTCCTTCTTTCGGACGCTCTCGTAGGACGGGAGCCTCGGGAGGGGGGCGTCTAGAGCGGGCAGAGAGTAGCTGGAGGGTAGACCGACAAAGAACAGCTGACCCACCTGCTGAGACACAGAGGGACACTCATGAGGACAGATAAAGGACACTTGAGGTGTTGGAGATGTGGATTGTGGTCCAAATATACCACTTAAACCGAGAGGGGGCTTCTCAATAACTTCGACTTCCTCTCTCCTCCTCTGACCTTCAAAATGTTTCCCTGTCTGCCATAATGGAGGATTTTCAACTTGAGAAGATGAGGAGAGAGTAGACGAGAGGCTTCTGGAGGAGCGATGAAACACAAGTGTAACCTCTGTAGAAGTAATTTATCAAATTATGGGCATTTAAAGGTTTAAAGGTGACATATTCTCCTCCTCTTCTTCAGTTTAAAGAAGTCTCAGAGCTCCTCAAAACATGTGTGTGAAGTTTCTTGTTCTAAATCCACTCTGATCCTGTATTTGATCATGCCTATAAACCCCTCTATTTCAGCCCTGCTCAGAACAGGCTGTTTCTGTGTCTGCATCTTTAAATATGTAAATGAGCTGTGTCTGACCACGCCCCCTCTCTGGAAGGGCTTGGGTGTACTCGGTGCTTTCTCGCTCCATGTCCTATTGTTTACGGTGAGAAGGCAGACTCAGAGGGCAGAACAAACACCTAGCTGTGGGAGTGTCACCCACCTGGGGGGAGGAGTTACTGCCCTTTGTGATGTCATGAAGGGAAAATCTCCAAACGGCCTGTTTGAGCACACATTTTCTGAAAAGTGGAGCAGACAAAAGACGGAGAGGATGGACTTTTCTCATCATTGGGGGGTTTGTAGACAGACTAGAGACACATATTAGAGTTAGAGAAACATGGGGAAGTGGATTTTACAGAATATGCGACTTCTAACTCGATATATGATCATTATTTTCAACTTTAGGTGCCCCCCAAAATTGAAGAATTTGTCCTAAATGAGGGTTTGTTTGGTAACTTTTGTCTGTTGGTTTTATAGCCGTGCAGCATCAGAAACTCACTTAGAGATGATTTTTCACTTGTCAGTTTCGTCTCTCTCAGAACTCATCTTTCAAGACTTAAGATGTGAGGTCGAGTCATGTTTGCACAAAGAAAAGCACCCTGTGTGTGTTTTTCTTCTTTTGCTGCAGCAATGTAAAGACTTATCATGTCCAGGCCCTGCTGTGTTTTCTCACCTGACTGTCGTTGTCGTCGACGATGTGACTCTGCTCCAGACACGCCGAGCCCACCAGAGTCTGCCTGCTGCTGTAGTACTGAGGAGGAGCGTCCTGTGAAAAGAGACACATGTTTGTCTCACTTTGCTCATCAATTCAGCCGAAGTCTTAACAACCTGTTGAATTTTTAACTTCCCCGCCGGGGGGTCCTTGTCGCTCCTCCGACACTACAATCCGCTCATTTCAGCCCAATTGAGCGATTTTCATGCCTTGTTTCATCACTGTAGACACCGCCTGCTTTAGCAATACCATAAATTACCCCGATCAATAAGACCAACACCCCCCCTGTTTCCGTGCCCCCTCCCCGTCCCTCCCCCCTCTAACACAGACCTGTCACTGTTTCACTGTATGAGCTGCAGGAATCCTGCTTTTAAAAAAAAGGCCGGCCAGTAAAGAAGGTAATTGCCTCTGGCTCTAAATGAGCGTCCTTTGTGTGGAGGACAATGTGGCGTCCTACTGTGTCATCAGGCTCCCCGGGCAACACACCACACCGTGTGGTCTGTGTGCGGCTGCAGCAGGTAGCTCCTAACGAGCAACGCTGCAATACACACATCACAGACGACAACGCAACACGACAACAAGACAAGACAACACAACAACAAGAGAGAGAGAGAGAGAGAGAGAGCAAAGTCTAAACTGCTCAAGTACGTGAAATGTTGCCAACATATTTGTGCAGGAGTTTGCCTGAAATCTTTATTAACTTAAACCAAGAATTTACCCAATATTAGGTGGTAAGACTTCTACATCTGTTGCCGTGGTAACAAACAGGTATCGATATCGCTTAGAGGTTTAAAGATCGGATGTCGAGACAGCCCGAGACGTTAATAAAGGAGATTTCCTTTGAGTACATTTATCTGAAGTAGAGTTTCTGCACACAATGAAATGCATTTAAAAAAAAAATCTGACTTATTGTATAAAGGTTGTGTTGATGTTGCTGTCGTTATGGCAACCTGAGTTCAAGCACCTTTTATGATAAGTATGATATATTGTAGAGACAGGACAGTGGGTAGAGGTGGAAAGCCTCAGTACTTGGGGCGCCCTGACTAATGTTGTGGTCTTGGGACCAATTTTTGGAGGCCTCGGTTTCGTCTAAGAATTGAAAGCATTTTTAGTTGGTCTTGTCCACTTCATTACTGTGATTAAAAAACGCTTCTCTCTAAAATGATGACTAACTTTAACTAATTTGTAGTTTGATTTTTATCCCCTGGTTACGGCCTCAACCTTCCCAGTGTTATGTGTAAAGGGAGTGACACGCCTCCTGTACACAAGATGATGACTTTTCAGAGATATTTATGGTCTCGGTCTCGGATATGTCTTGGTCTCTTGACTACAACACTAGTACAAACTAACCACAGGCCACTGGCACCCCGTGTAAAGCATCATAACATGACGTTTAAAAACATTTATTGATGTTTATTTTTGCCTAAAAAATGCAAAAATAGCCCCAAAAAAACCAAAAAAAGAAACGTTGAATAACTACGACTTCTAGGTATTAATATAGTCTGACTTTTACTAGACTTGAATAGAAACTTGAAAATGTGGTTCCCCTCCTCAGGAGAATATGAAAGAGGATTTCCTTCCAGGAGGATCTGAAACAGAGGTAAGATTTCTGCACGCAAAGAAGCGAATGAAAACATCAGATTTATTGTCTAAAGTTTGATGCTTTATGTCTTTACAACTGTTTTTGTTTTAATACTTAAAAAAAGTGAAACAATCTATGATGTCCAAATGTGTGATGGTACTGAAGAGAGAGAGAGAACTTTCTAGATTGCACAAATACATTGGTAACGTTTGTGCAGGAGTTTACTTGAAATTTCTACCAGTTAAAAACAAGACGTTATCCTGTATTTGGCGTCCATGACTTCTATTTTTGTTACTATGGTAACTAAACCGTTATAAGTTGTTTGATTTTTACTAGTTTCAAATCAAAGTTTCAAAAATCTGACAACCCAAAGTTGAACTTTATAAAATATTCATCAGATTGATCATTTTCCCAGGCCGCCGCTCAAACAATGACATCACTCACACTCAGAGTGACGCACTCTGTCGACCTTTGCCACGACACTCACATCGTTTCAGACAGAGAGAGAGTCCACTCCGAAAAAGGTGAAGCCAAAGGTCACGTTCCCTCGCTGGTTTCTACTTTTAAGAGGCGAACAGAAAAGTCCTGAAGGAAAGAGGAACAGAAAGGAGACTTGTCCTTTTGTCTCGGCCAGTGTGAAAAAGCACAACCGTGTAAAATCAGTGTTGAAGTCGGGGGAGGAGCCCCGGCAGCAGCGTGTCTTTTTTTCTACCTCTGCAGCCTAAAGGAGATCCATTGTCCCCGTTGTGTCCCCAACACCCACAGAGGGCTCTGCCCCCCATTCATGCTGCAAACTGAAGCAGGGCGAGGTATGTGACGATGAAGTTAAAGACATGAGCAGAGTGACAGAGTGAGGAATGACCGACCGCCTTCAAAAGAAAATCACATTTATGTCAAGAACTGATTTATTCTCTCTCTCTCTCTCTTTCTCTCTTTACTTAATTTCTATGATTGTTTTAAAAAAATTCCCTGGCTTCTCTGACAACAATGCAGCAGCCAGTATGTCCTCCTTCTAACTTTAGATTCTGCTCCTGAATGCTCTGGATTTGTTTGGACCAGAGAAGGTAGGTGGTTTTAAGACACCCCCCCACACGGCCGTTTTGGACGCCCCTCGGTTTGCCAGATACGAGAGCAGTTATCAGGTCAAACCAACAGGTGTTGCAGCGATGGAAGCGGGCAAGAGAAGTGGTTCAGATAGAAGTGATTGTACCCGACCTAAAAAGCCTCTGCATGTTTCTAATAAGCTCCACGAGCAGAAACGTGCTCAAACTAGGATCAATATTGGAGATGCTTTTGAAAAATGGAGAGAGGTTAGAACACAGAAAGGTTTACAGACCCATGCAGAGCTGGCTAAACACTGAAGCTTCAGAGTCCACCACATGGCAACCTGCATGAGCATCGACTCTAGAGAGGAGGGGGGGGAGAGAGCTCTCTATGATGTTTAGAATTTGGACTGCAGTACCCATTTTAACCACTAGGTGTCAGAGTTACATACTGCTCCTTTAAGTAAACTCAAATAATGTTTGTTTTTATCTTCCTCTCTTGATTATACATGAGTGACTTTGTAATGTATGTGTACATTTTGTTTGAAGTTATTTACACACGTTTTTTTGCTCTTAAAGACGTGTTAGCGTTTGTAAATATGCAGATGGACACACTCCCCTCTCTAATGTGTACATGCAGTTTGAGTGCCTTTGTGTGAAACAGACAGTTCAGCTGTAAAGTACAGAAAGAATCTGTCCTGTATCTAATGAAACTCTGATGTCTGACTCAGGCTGTGACTAAAGCCGCCGTGTTGTCTTATCAGCAGCAGCGTGCATGAATACAGCTGTGAGAGGTCAGTTTGTCCCAGTGCAACGCTCTGTTAGTTCCTCAAACGGGACAGCAGAGCCTCTCCGTTAAACACAGCTGCACAGAGCTTCCTGTCTGCTGACAGGGGGGGGGGGGGCATTAGTCGTGTCTCTGCAACCCGAAGATAACACGCAAACTTCTCCCCCGGGATTTAAGGAAAGAGGAAGTAGAGAGAACAAGCGACCAATGAGAAGTCACCTCAGAGAGGAGTGTTTACATGCAGAGATTTATGGTGTCAAAAAAAACATTCAGAAAATGTCACAGGAGGCTCTTTTTTTTTTAAAGCTCCAGGTGAGGTTTGCTTCACCTGTGATGCTGATCTGAGTGATTTATTCACTGCAGCACGACCAAGAGGCATCAATATTCTCGCTGAGTGCTAATTCTGTCCAAATCCATTAGAGCCGCACCGTGGCGTTGGGAGATATTTCTGCAGGGTTGTTAATTCCACTGAGGCAAACTGACGACGATCATATCACGTTTTATTCTCGTCTCGTTCCCCGCAACCGTGCAAATTGAATGTGACACTTGTTAATGGGGTCTGTCTTTAAGTCTGGGTGAGCTCTGTTTGAGTGTCAACAAACAGAAAGCTCAGCACCTCTCTCCTTTGGTTTGTCACACTTTGGGAAAGGGAGGGCTTACCATATCTGCACGCGGCCCCCGACAGGAGCGCATCCTGCAGCACTGAGGGTCTTTGCGGTACATGATGGACAGCAGCACCACGATGACCACGAAGAGGATCAGAGAGGAAACTGCAGGACAAAGAAGGAAAATGTGTGTCAATCACAGCTCAGACACACACACAGGGAGGTGTGTAAACAGTTTGAATCTCTGAGAAATAAACGACAAGATGAGAGAGACTGCTCAAATTAAAGGATATTCTGGTGCCAGATTCATCTTCAAAAATTAGAGTAGAAAATACAAAACTACAAGAGAAGAGAGCAAGAAAATATAGAGTGTAGAAGGGTCAGATGTAGAGAAAAGGCCTCTTAAAAACTGAAGTGAAATAAGTCTAGGAGAAAACAGAGCAATAAGTGAAGAAGCAGACAAACTGATAATACAGTAAAAGTCATAAAAATTTACTTTCAGTAACTTCTTATGTGTTTATTGCTTTTTAAAGTGTTGTTGCACCCTTGAAATGAACCGGTCAGAACTCGTCCATCTTCACTTTTAGCAACTTTTATTAAAGAAATGCCCACAGCTTTACACAAGCTTTGTTTTTCAGCCTACACACACCTCTGTGTGTTCTTCACTGAGCCTCTCTTAAAGGGCCAGTGTCTTAATTTTAAAAAGGTAGATCATAAAACACAGTATTTACTGTTTATAACTGTTTTTTTTTACTAATTATCTTAGAAATATAAATTAACTGAAATACTATTGGAAATTAAATTAGTTGAACTAGACACACTGATATAACAAAATGACAGAAAAAAATATGAGAATATGAAAAAGCATTTTCAGCGTGTTACAGTGTCATCATGATTGAAATGGTGAAGACTAATGTCCTGCCTTTGCATTAAAGAGAAAATAATGTTTCTTTCTATTTCTATTTCAGGTTCTGAGAAACACAGAAGAAGAGCACAGCATGCTTATTAATCCTCACTGCATGATAATGAAATGTAATATTAAACATGAGATTTTTGAGTGACAGTTTTTCCACCTTATGGAAACTTAAAAAAGGTGTAACTTATCTTCTTTCTCCCGCCTGTCAGTCAAAAACAGTGACAGCTTCTTAGACAATAAAAGACTTGATAGAAGTTAATTAATTGTAATTATGGTCGAAAGCTTTGAGTGCGAAATGTGGCAGTTGAATCTGCACATGTCGGATATGAATAAAAAAGGAATTATACAGAAGAAGAAGAAGAAGAAGATGCAAAGAAGTGCAGACTTGTTCCCCCTGCTCAGATAATCTGACTTTTAAAAAAGAGTCGCTGTTCTTTGTTATGTTTGACATTTTACTCACAGGAGGCAGCGAGCACAGTGAGCTGCTCCGAGCTCAGCTGTGAGGAGGGGACGGTCACGGTGGGACTCGGACTTGTGGACATTTCCTCCTCCTCGGTGTAAAGTGTGAATGTTCCCTTCAGAGATCCTCCAGAGCTCCTAAGGCTCAGCGCGACTCCTCTCATCCTACTTTGAAGAAAAAAACGTATCTGAGGGAGAAACGGAGTCCGGCCACTCTGTCGCTCCTACCTCATCATCATCATCATCGTCTCTTCGGTCCCCGGACACGGTGAGCGGTGAGTGACACGCACACACACACACACACACACACACAACACAAGGACCGTCCTCACGCGCTACTTCCTGCAGCTCGTTTGAAACTCTAAACACAGCGCGTGTGAGCTCGTGGATGCGCGGGGACGTCCTCCTCTTCTCACCGCGTGACGTCACTCTGTGTCCGCAGCAGTGTATTGAGTCGTGAATTGGATCTTTAACTGGAAGCAGAACACTCATTTCTGGAGATAATAGAGTGGATAAGAAGCACTTAAAGCTCCTGTGAGGAGTTTTTAGATGATTATGAAACCGACTGAAATGAATACTGAAGCCTCTTAATAACCAACAAGCACAAACAAGACCACCAGCATCCAGATTGACTATTTCTATGTCATTATTTTTGTAAATCAGATATTAGTAAGGAGTAACATGCTCTACTTTGCCCACAGGGGGCGCCAAAATCAACACAAACTAAAAGTTCATCACAGGAGCTTTAAACCTGATTTAACACCACAAGTTTGTGTATCCCTGTACAACGTTTCACTCCTTAGTTTCAGAAGTTGTTGTCGAATAAAGATTGTTTTTTAAAAATGTTTTCTGAAGTAAAGTTGTCGGCTTTTGAGGTTCACTATATGACATTACATTTGATGTTCAGAGAGAGCAGACGATGGCTGCTCCCTCAGAGTGAATCCTCCAGACCAGACTGAGTTAACACTCTGGATGCCTGAGCTGGAGTCCTGTTACCGTGGAGACAATGGGGGTCTGGTCTGGTTTCTAAACAGACAAAAAACCATGAGAGCGGCATTAGCATTCATGGGAGGGACTATGGGAAATATGCAAACTGATACCATTTGAATGATTTCAAAAACACTTTTTTTACCTTCTTTTTGGCAATTTTTAAAAAATCAACAACTGTTCTCCTGTAATACAGAAAACAATTCAAATAAGGAGGCACTGATTCTGTCCCTGGTCATGAAATATGTGAAAATGAGAATACAGATTTGTATGTTTGGGAACCAAAAGCCTGAGACAACGATGAGATTAAAAAGATTCAAGTGAAGATAAGAAAGAGAATATTTAGGATAAACATCTGTGGTAAGGGTCTGTAATGTTTACATATTTAACATTTAACATTAACATAAACTGAAAATTAATTTTATCAAATCGAGGTAGTGGTTGTTATTCTTCATGACAAACTTTATGACAACAGTGATGTGGAGATCACAGACGAGTCAGTTTTTAGAGCCGACTCCTTTGAGAAGATTATTATTTAAAGCATTTTCTAAGGAGGTGTTTAACAGTTGTGATTGTATTTTATTTGCATACAAACCGTTTGAGAATGATATGGGGAGCAAAACACGGTCAAACTTTTATATTTTAATGCAGTGTCATGTGATCCAGGTGTGGACCGTGCACATGTAAAGTGCCCCTTTGTGCCAGTCAATGAGAAGTAGGGGTGCAGAAATGCAAAATTTCCTCTAATCGATTACTCTTCCCATTGTTAAAGCGAGTACTCGAGTAATCGTTTTGTAGTTCTTTTTTTTTCTGTAATTCTTTTCCCCCATGGGAGGCCCCGCCCCCAACTATGACGCGATGCCAACTGTATCTATTGATTAATTTGAATCTTCGGGATTTTAATAATTGTTAGTAAGAGGCCTTTGTATTAACATTCAAATATGACATTTCTTACTTCAACAGACAGCAAACCTCAAATAAAAATTCACACAGATGCATTCTGACCGTTTTAACACTTTATTATATTTAGTGCAGTGTGGCGAGTGGACGTGCAGACGTGCAGACCTCAATGCGCACTCATCGCACGTGGAAGCTGTTTTGACAGCAACATTCTGTTAACAAAGACTACAGTCTGCAGTGTAGAGCACACTTTACTCTGGTAAATGAAGTTACAATAGAACAGGTGAACGATTTAAGTGTCTGTCTGTTTCATCTTTCTCCTCTGTGCGTAATGACACACTCGCTCAATCTCGCTCATCCGTCTGCTATGAGCTATTTCTCCCTATAAGGTTGTTACATTTTGTAGTTATTAAAAGAATAATCATCTAAAATTCCAAAATGTAGGAAAACATTTTGTTAGGGTAGCAGCGTAGGATCAACAACGGACGCGTTTCAGCACAGAGCCTTTATCAGCGCTTTGTTTGTCATCGATTTTCTTTTTGCGCTCGTGCTCCTTTTTTTCTGTTTTGAATTAGGCCTATCCTAGAACCCACAATGCAACAAGAAACATTTACAAAAATGTGGACTACAAATCGATTATCGATTACATTTTTTTTGTAACCGATTATTATTTGTTTGCACCCCTAATGAGAAGTATTGTGTTGTGGAAATGAGGAGGCTTATGCTGGTTACACACTAGATGATTTTGGGCCCGATTTGACCCCCCACCTCCACAACAATTTGGAGGGCATGGCTCGATTTGAGGTTTGTCACAACCGATTATTTTTCAAACAATCCTCAAGTGTCGATACGATTAATTTACTGCTCCGATCGAGGGTCCCCAAAGATGAATATCGAACATGTTTGCTCTCTATGATTCCAGATCGGGCTGCTTCAGATGGAAAACCTGCAATAGCCAATGAGAGCGGAGCAGACCGTGACGCATCACTTACCTGATGTTACAACTCAGCTCCTATACCATCGTCTCAGCCAGGATTTCACCCATATCTTTTTCTCGGGTAAAACAGAACACACTGCAGGACAGCCAACTGACGACGTCTATTGTTCTCCATATTGTTTTTCTTCTGAAGTCATGTTTGATCACGTGTGTTTCTGTGATTCCTTGTGTCTGTAGATTCACCACTGGGAAATTGTTACTACAAACCGCAGGCGTGTGGCCGAATCATTCTACAATTCACTTAGCAGACGCTTTTATCCAAAGCGACATACATCAGAGAGTAAGTACAACACAAGCAAGGATCTAGAAAAAAAAGGGAACAATGAATCATCTAATGCATTGGTTCCCATCTTGGGGTCCGACACCCCTGAGGGGGGGCGCCTGAGATCTCAGGGGGGCGTGGTTATCTTTTCTTACAATTATGGGCAGGCTCCAAGGACTAAAGTTTGGGAAGGGGACCCCTGATTTAATGTGTGCCTTTCACAGGATTATAATAATAAAATGGTGGAAACTATCCTTTTTTTCTCTGGTCTCCCACCTTTTTTTAAATCATCTGGCAAGTAGCCGACTTTAGTATATTTATTTTAGAGAATTTAAGAGGAAAATATGTGCAAACAACCGCTATTGAAAACATTGATATGTCTGATTTATATCTAAATATACGTTAAATAATAATATAATATAGATAATAATGTATCATGTAATAAGAGAGGTTTGGAAGACGAAAGAGCCGCTCTATATTAGTGAGCCGAGCAAAATGATCCGATCCTGAAAAGAGCCGAACTTCCCGCCGCTCTGTAGCAACCTGACCGCGAGAGTGACGCTACGTGCGCGCGCAGCTCAGAATGCACCCCGCACGCGCACCCCGACAACTCTGGTCGAAAAAATGGTGGCCAGCGCTCGAGTGCAGAAGCTCCTCCGAAGATATAAACTAGCGATCGCCGCCGCGTTAACGATCCTCCTGGTGCAGGGACTGGTGGTATGGAGTCTGAGGAGTCTGGAGGAAGGAGAGGCAGAGGTGAGCCGCTGTTCCCGCGCTTATTCCCGGCACCACGGTGATTATTCTGTGTGGTTCTATTGAGGAGCTAGCCGTTAGCCGTTAGCTCGCTGTGTGTTATGATGCGGTAACGCGAGCTAGCTGACGTTAGCCGAGCTAGCTCAGGAGGATAGAGCTGCTCCCAAACACTTGAGTCCAGCCGGTCCAGCCCTGTCCTGTTATGTCTGTCACAGACCAGCACACTTGGACTTCATACTGGGCTACATGTTGATGACTGTGAGGGTGAAATCACCTCTACTGATACTATTCTGTGTGTTACCTTATTTAAAAAGCGACAGAGTTTTTTTTACACCGGTTCTGATTGTCACTACATTTCATCTGGAAGAAAGTGTGACAGACAAACACGTACTGGTTTTATCTTTTTGTTTTATGTAGCACTGGGACATCACAGAACAACCAGTGAAAGACTAAACACAGGCACAGAAGAGGATGTAAACAAAGAGATTCATTCAGAGCTACAGAATAAGATTGTTCTAGTCATGATATGTTATCTCAGAAGTAACAGTAATATTGTCCAAACAGTGAGTGATGTTGATAAGGAGAGATGGAGTCAGGTTTTTGTTTTTGTTGTTTTTCTTGGAGATTGTCCAGAAGGTTCGTTTTGCTTTAACACTCAGATTTCCAGGGATTTTTTCCTAAAAAGCTCGAAATATGTACCCACCAAAACTATGTTCATTGTCTGCCAGCAGTACTCAAACTCCACCCAGAAGGCTTGTTGTGAAGCTGCTTTCTGTAGTTGTGGGTTATAAAATACAAATCAAAATGTTTTTCAGCAGAATTGCCTTCAAGTGGGTTTCCCCTAAGCAAAGTTTCCTGTTATTATTTGTTATTGCACTGCCTTATTGTTGAAACTTTTTAAACTGCGGGAAAGTTCATTTACATTTTGCAACGACACCTTTATCAATATTTTACTTAAAGCTTTTTATTAATATTTGTGTTATTCTTAAGGTTCAATATAATTTAGATTACTTGAGGAGAGCTGTTTTTACACATGTTCACTCCTGAAAAATTCTAGATAATGTCAGGAGGAGGACTGCCCCTGAAATGCTCCTGATCTGGTTGTTCACACACGCACCTCCCAGCCGGAGACTCCAAGGGGGACGGGGACGGGGGACGGGGGTCTCCTGAGGCAAGACATGATGCAAAAAGAATGACGCAGAGGTGGTGGACGAAGCAGCAGAGTCCGGTTCACACACCAGAAACGTCAGGAGTTTTGAACCCGTGTGAAAGCCCTGATAGAGTTAAAGGTTGTCCGAGCAGTGATGCAACTTCTGGGCAACATGTGAAAGATTTTCATGACTGAATGACTGTAAATAGTTAATCAGCACTGAGCTGACTTTAGTCATGCTTCAAATATCTCAGCATATTAACAACCTGTGAGGCTCTCTCTCTCTCTCTCTCTCTTTGTATTCAGCTTGTTTTCATCAGCGGCCTCTCTGTGATGCCGCTCTGCCTCTGTGACCTTCACCGAGATTTGAATCAAACACACAGAGAGGAAACATAGCCCAGAGCTAAGGGGTCAAAGGTTGCTTCCACTTCAAACCACTGAAACAGTTTATTTAACGCCAGCCAGGTCCACCGTGGGAAGCTTATCTCCGCAGCTCCCTCGCACACCTGGAGCGCTCTACCTGCAGGCCGTGTTTGCTCCTGTTCTCTCTCAGTAAGGAGAGGGTTGTCGTTAACAGATGTGACCTGAGGAGGACTGAATGTACTGATAGAGTTTCTTTCAGGAACAGGGTATGAAATATCCCTCCTTTCATGGATAGATATCAGATCTGTGCCTGGAGGGTACGACAGGTGGCAGATGTCGTGTAGAAGTTTGACCTTTTTTTTATCAGAGAGTGAAGAAGAGGGCTGCAGAAGTTTGATCATTTTGATTTGTACTGATGAGTATTGATGTATGAATTGATTACTCTTTAACAGACTTATTCTTTTGATATTTTATAATTTTGATAGCGAGCGTCCTTAAATTTAGAGATTAGCCTAGCCACATGCTAATTTTTTAAAGAACTGGGAACACTCCAGCTGATGATGAGTTTTCTCTCATCAGGAGGGGCTGCGAGCCACGCTGCTAACGTTAGCCCCAGCTTGTTGTGAGGTTACGATCACCTTTAGGATTAACTGTGGAAGAGGTTTAAAGGACATCGGCAGAAGTCTTCCTCCGCTTTAAGACACACACAGCCAGAAATGACAGCCAATTAAAACAGAAAATAAAGCCGCTTCATGTTCGAATTCAGTGTTTCTCTAAGACTCTACAGATGGTGTTTGGTGAGGGGGCTTCTAGCCGAGCCGCCCATTTAATTCACGTCATGTTGCCAGTGACTGTCGTTGATTTCTTCATCTCAGAAGAAAAGGGAAGTTCACTTTCATCATCGCTCTTTTGTTCCCCTCAGTTTGACTTTGTCTGACAGAAGACGATGACTGTCTTTACTGTCTCCTCAAACGATCGCTGTGTGATCGCTGGAGAAGTTCAGTGTGTGATTCACAATCAACGTCGATGTTAATCTCATGATGATCCCATACTGAGGTTTGAGAAGAGGTTTGAGTCCTGACCCTGATGGATTCACTTAACACAGAGTTTGTTCTCACTCACATCGAAGTGATCCTTCTTCTTTGGCTCCAACGTGACATATTGACAAAACGGGAAATGGAGACATTCTTCATATTGCAGAAGTTTGTTCCTTTTTGACCTCTCTCACCCGTTTGCATTATCAGCCTGCAGGCTTTACTGCTGCCTCATCAGGTGTGCTCAGGCTTAAACATGCACACATGTGGAGGAATGTCTGGCTAACTGACGCTCAGCTCGGACTGTGAAGGAGCAGAAGAGCATCCATGATAAATCTCAGCACATCTACATTTGTGTTTGTTGTTTAGTGCATTTGAGAAGCTGCAGCGACTGTTCCTCTTAATTATCAGAATCAGATTTATTGTCCAGGCATGCTTACACGCACACAAGGAATTTAACTTCGGTGAACTGTGCTCTCTTATGTACAGGTACAACATTAAATATCAACAATAAACATAATAAGAAAAAACTAATATTTACATGACTAAATATGAAACAGTGCCGTGGTGAATAGTGCAAAAGATGCTAAAGTAACATGATAATAAGTAAAATGCAGTTTTGTGACATATGGGTCAAGTTCCTGTGTTTTTATTGATCATTTAAAGCAGGAAGCCGGTCTCATTCATTCCTCCTGTGGCTTCAGAAGCTGCTCTGTGCACATGTCAGTCTGAAGATGTTGGCAGACAGACAGCTGTGCAAATGTCAGCGGTCGGGGGTCTCTGCATGTTTGCAGAGTCACAGAATCAGATTTCATGCTTAAGAATGCATATTAATCATCACTTCACCTCCGAACGCTGCATGTTCAGTCAGAGAGGCTCAGCGGCATGATGGAGGGCGTCTGGATTCCTCCGTGCTCTGTGAGTTAAAGTCTCTGCCGTGCATGTGTGAACACAGCCTCACCGCGTTCTGCTAAAGCCCCTGCACAGCCGAGGGAGCGGATTATGAAGACAGAAGAAGAAGACTCAGTCAGCCTTATGTCGCCCTCCCTGCCCGCTCTCTCGCTCTCTCTCTCTCTCGAGCAGATCTCAGTGTTGCTGTTGAATCCCTCTTCAGCAGATGGCGATGCCGATATGGTTTCACTTACTTTAATTGGAAAGTAAAGAAGCAGCCAGGCTTGCCTTTGAATCAATACTTTTTTTTGTTAATTAAAAGCTGTGAAAAACTCGCTTCTGTTTTACTCGTCTTTATCTATGCTGGCTGACCAAAGACGAACATCTCCGCTCTAAGACATATTACAGTCATGAGCCAGCGTGGGCAAAAAGAAATCCACAACTTTAAGAAAAAATGTTCTGAAAAGTGTCAAGACTTTGATTCTGACAGAAGAAACGTCTTTAACTTCATCAGCTATTCAAAATGCTTCTGCACCAAATCAAATGAGCGTCTGCTCCGAGAAGAAAGGTTTGCATTGTTCCCCCTCCAGATGTCTCATCATGTCTTCTGTTTCTTTAGACTGACTGTCAAACTGATCTTTTCAAACAAAGACGTTGTTTCCATGCTGTAGAATAAGGTTTGTTCTGTAAAGTACATTTTAAATCTCATTTATATAAAGTTATTTTTCAGTTAGATTTCTTAACACTGCTGCTCTTTCACTGAAATCTACTGAAGTTTGTACAAGACTACGCAAAGTGGTTTTAATAACACAAGGCATGAAATGGTTTGGGGCGCCGGATGACCTTGCAGTTGTGTCGCTCACCCCCATGATCTGACCTCCGCCCTTTGCTGCACGTCGTCCCCCAATCTCTCTCCTCACAGCATTTCCTTTCCCTCCTCGGCTGTCATGTCTAATGAAGGCAAAAATGACCCAAAAATATCTTTAAAAAAAAAAAAGAGGATTTGAAATGTATCTCGTGGATATGTTGTGATCAGCTTGTGGATGAGCCAACCACTCTGTCCTGTGCATCCCGTGTCACATACAGGTGCGCTATTTTCAGCGATGTAAATGTATGAATTTATGCAGGAATTGAATAGTTTGTGTGCAATCCCTGTAACCCTGCGTCAAAGTTCAGGCCCTGTTTTTATATTTCACTGTTTTTTGAGGGATATATGACTCATGATTTCATGAACTTGTGGTTCCTGTTAAGTCCACATTTAGGACCTTTGGTTTCTGCAGAAATATGACAGTAACCAGGTTAGTCATGGCGCTTTGTAAGCACACAGAAGGAGGCTCCCGATGTGGTAACTGATCTGTATCCACCATGCCTCTTTACAGTGCTTGAGAAAGTAGTTGGTAAATCAGTATCTGACTCTGCTGTAATGTTTGGCAGCTGGTTTGTTGGCAGTGAGTCTTACCTGCCCCCGTGTCCTACCAAGCAGTCTCAGTCCGTTCCCACTGTCTCTGAGCTGATGGCGTGCCAGAGACATGAGGCTGAAGAGTCCGTGTATGGTCCGACTGATGCAGAACGCTCTCAGCCCGTTCGCTGTTCCTCTTCCTGTTGTCCAAGTTTTGAAGGGTTTGTGTTTGTTTGTGTGTGTGGACCAGTTATCTCCTGTGCCAGAGCTGTGAGGCCGTTTGGCTCCATGATTTAAAAATTACTTCAGTTTGTTTCAAACTATTTTTAGGAGTTGTGATTTTTGCTCCAGTAAAACCGATTCTTCCTCTACAGACACATTGAAACGTAGGACTTTGAAAGTGCAGGAAGAAACTGGTTCAGCGATCGGTGTGAGTTCAAATCCGAAAGTTTTCATCTGAAAAATCAGAATCAGAATCGGGGTTTATTGCCAAGTACATTTACACATACAAGGAATTTGACTTGGTGTATTGGTGCTAAACAATAACAAGGAAATAAAACAGAACTAGCGACAACTCAAATAATACAGTATAAGAAGCTATTACAATATATAAAATAGAATTTAAAAATGTAAAATATAAAAATAAAAATAAAAAAACAAAATGTACAAAAGGTGGAAAAAATTAGTTTTTTAGAAAAATGAGAACATATCAGCAAATGCTTCAAATTACAAACTGAAACCACCAGTAACTTTTTGAGATTTTTAAATTAATATCACCAGAACCTTTAATTATTTCTCAAAATATCGTCTTCAATATCTGTTTGTGAACCAGCCCTGCACATCTTCTCTTCTGTTGTGACTGTCACTGAACCACATCTTTATGAAACATGATTCCAGCTCTAACTGTCTGCTGTGGGGATGTTAAAGCTCCAGAGTCCTGCTCTGGGACACTTGGACTGTTACATGACGGTACTTCAAAGCAGAGTTGCTGTAAGAGGATCATGTCTCGACATTTTAGAGGAGTCTGAAAGTCTCTGAGGACGAGATGGAAATGTTGTACACAAACCCTGAAGGGATGAAATGCTTTGATGTTATACATTTATACTTCTTATTTAGGATAGATAATAATTCAGAGCTGGGGTCGGAGGGAGAGAGGAACCCTGGTCCCACACACACACACACACACACACACACACACACACACACACACACACACACACACACACGCTGTCTGATAAGGATTTTCTGTGTGTTCTCTGCGGTTTCATGCTCAGCTGTTTGTATGAAACGTGTGTTCTTTTTTTTTTCTGCATTTTTGCCCGGGGGTGCAGACAGAGGTTTGTTAAGGTCTCTGCACTGAATCACTGCGCTCGTTATGTGTGTCTGAGTGTGTTTGTGTGTATGTGTAAGAGTGTGTGATATCCAGAATTGTGCTTTTTGCAGATTAGCTGTAGAATGGCAGAGGCTCAGCTAAAAATAAACCCAGAGACAGGAAAGAAAAAAACAAACAAACGTGGTAAACACATCCTCTCCTCTGGGGCTCTTTCAGCTTTTGTCCTCAGCTCGTCTTCCTCGTGTCAGTCACGGATTGAGAATCAACGTCTAGTTCTCAGAAGTGTTAAAACATTCTTATGGACTGGCAGGCAACAAGTCTGGATTAAAATAATCTCTCTCTCTCTCTCTCTCTCTCTCTCTCTCTCTCTCTCTCTCTCTCTCTCCTCAGAGGAAAACACGGCGCTCTAAACTGCCTGATAACAACAGCCAGGACTCAAAGAGAGACCCGTCGCTTTGGGACAAACAGAAGTCTCCGTCGGGGAGGAATAAGGGCCGATGGAGCCCCAAGCTGGAGAGGACGGGGGGCACGGCGGCCAGCGCCCTGAGACGAGGGACCAGCCGGCGAGGAGAGAAGCCCAGCATCCGGCTGAAATCTCCCCAGGAGCGAGGGATGACCGGAGCGGGACTGGAAGGCGTGCTCCTCCACGACCCGTCCAGCAGCCGCAACCTCAGCGAGACACGAGGAGGGGGCAACGACGGGGCGGCTAAGTTGCCTGCCGCCATTCTGGGGGAGCCGGGCAGCGTGGACGGAGCGCACCAAGCCCCCAGCAGTGACTTTGTGCCTAAATGCGACATCATGGGGAAGGACGCTCTGTCCGCCCTTCATCGCGCCGGGTCGCAGCAGTGCCGCCAGGAGATCGGCAACATCGTGTGTCAGCATCAAGCCGGGCAGCTCATGCCAGAGACCCTCCCTCAGTTCTGCCCCCAACTTGGTGAGGAACTTTTAACACGTGCTGATTTCATTTTGATCTCATTTCATTATTCTATATGAGTTGGTGTGTCTCGGTGATCACAGCTGGTTTTGTGTTTGTTTTTGGAGGAAATATGAAAAGAAGGCGGGTCGACGTTTGTTGAAGTCTTTACTCCTCTGACCTCACTGAGCCCTCACTCTTACTCGTCTGTCTTTAAGGTGTAGTGAATCCGGTCCAGGCGGTCGGCGAGCTGGACAACAGCCTGTCCTCGGTGGAGAATCCGGTGAGAGTGGCGTTCGTCCTTATGGTCCACGGTCGAGCTGTACGGCAGCTCAAACGCCTCATCAAAGCCATTTATCACCGTGACCACTACTACTACATCCACGTGGACAAGGTAAGCCCCAACAGGAGACGACCATGTGATCATTAGGTGTTCTGTACGTGCAGGGCAGTAAAATAACATCAAATGTCAGTGAGCCTTCCAGAGGCCGGGCGGGCGACTGGAGGCGACGGCCAACACTGAATCAACTCTCTCAATGGATTTCACAGTTTATAGATTTAAACTTTGAGACCTCTCTCTGTCTCAGGTCTCTGACTCTATCCACTGTCTTTAATAAAGGCTAAAAAAAACAGAATAAACCCTGCTTTAAAAGAGGAAGTATAACATTCGCTCTTTGATAGACACAAGAAAACATCTAGTTTAAATGTCAGAGCTCTGGGGCGTCTGTTTGCCTAGTGGTTATGTTGCACGCCCCACATACGGAGGCTGTAGTCCTCTTTGGAGCGGCTGTGGGTTTGAATCCGACCTCAGCCCTTTGCTGCATAACGTCGCCCTCTCTCTCCTCCAGCATCTCCGCTCTCTCATTAGCTGTCCGATCCAATAAGACAAAAGTGGGCAGGAGTTTATTTTTTCAAGACCTTGGAGGGCTCTCAAAGGCCTCTTACTAACAATTATTAAAATCCCGAAGATTCAAATTAATCAATAGATACAGTCGGCATCGCGTCATAGTTGGGGGCGGGGCCTCCCGTGGGGGAAAAGAATCACAGAAAAAAAAAAGAACTACAAAATGATTACTCGAGTACTCGCTTTAACAATGGGAAGAGTAATCAATTAGAGGAAATTTTGCATTTCTGCACCCCTACCTTGGACCAACACTTGGGACGAGGAGAGTTGTACGTTCCTCTCAACAGGAGCGAGTTGGTCAAGATGTGGGAAATGTTGAATCACATGTCCTTTCCCTCCATTTCCTGCTTGAGTCATCACTTCCTGCTCTTGATCTGAGTTTCATGCATCACTGCAAAGAAGTTATATTTCCTCACCGCATGATTCTGCAGGGATCACGGCAGACAAGGCCGACTCTTCCTTTTACAGGATTCTTTATTTATGCTTCAGCTGAACATTGAGCAGAGCTGTTCGTTACCCTGCTCGGTGCTGCTGGCTTCGCTGAGCTCACAAAGCTTTTACCGGTTGGGTCTTCTTGCATTATGAAGGTTAAAGTCGTCCCGTGGGTCTCGCAGTGTGATGAAGAGGATTAGCCTGGATAGAGCCAAGTGTGGTTATTCTTAGGGTCTGGATTTAGACGAGTCTGCTCTCATGTGCAGCTGGGAGGCAGAAGACAAACGTACGGCTGAGTGGTGACAGGGAGGCAGGGAGCTCAGGTGTGTGCTGTAAACAGGTGCACCTGTGTAGCTGGAAAGGTGGTCGGGTCCTGGAGAGTTTCTCTGTTCTGCTGCCAAGGGGACGGTGCAGAGCGAGGCGCTGATGAATAAGGAGTCAGTGGGAGAGTCACAGTTTGCCAACCTCACCTCATCCATCTCTGAGGGCTAAAGCCTGTGTGAGAGATGAGCCAGTAAAACAGGTCAGGCTGTACTGGAATCAGTCCACAAAAACAAAAAAAACTCTTTTTTTTCTCTGCTGAGAGGACCGAGCGTCTAATCCTCCTGCTGCTCTTTTCTCTCAGCTGTTTTTTGCATTTGTGAAGAGAAGCAGAAAACGTACAGATTTCATGCAACACCAGAATAAGAACCGGCTCATTTAAAGGCAGTTTGTAGACTCAAAAAGATGTTTTTGGACAAAAAGAACTAAAACAAAAGTGGTCAGGAATCTTAACATCCACAGAAGACAGATTAACAAAATGTATTCTGGATCACAGAGAGAGCTTGGCTTTATTAGAGAGGACAGCTGAAGAGAGACGGGAAACATTGGGAGGAGAGAGGAGGAGGACTGCGCTGCGATGAGGACTACGGCCTCTGTACATGTTTAATTTCCTGGTGTTGCTTCTTCAGGATCACTTTAAGGGACATGCACAAAATGATCTGCAAAACAATAATCATGAAATGCAGGATTTCCCAAATAGTTTTCTGAAAATATTGAAATTCTAAGGTTGTGGGGGGGGGGGGGACCGGAGGGTCGCTGGTTGGTAAAATTGAATTTCCCCTTGCTGGATTAATAAAGTATATCTTCTTCAGACCTTTGTACTGAACGTCCTCTCCTTATTTAAAGCATCTCAGAGTCAGTGCGGCACTCTCTGTGCTTCACTAAACACAATTAGATTTTACGTCCCTGAACATTAAATTCCCTCGAGTCCTTTTCTCTTAAACTTCCCATTTATCGCCTGGCAGCGTTTATTAGCCGCCTTTATTTGGAAACAGGCGTCTCGTTAATGAGGTGGTAATTCTTCCCATTTAACCCCATTGGGAAGTTTAGAAGAAAAACTGTTAACTGTTGTCTTCCTGCAATCAGTCGTAGTTCCACCTCTCTCGCTCTCTTACAGTCCGGACTGAGAGAGTCTGGACTTGGACTTTCTCCGGCTCATCCTTCGTTCCCCCTGAAGTTTAATCTGTGCTCCTCTGAGCTCAGTTCCTCTGGGTCCTCCGCCCGGTGTCCCCGTCGTCTACTTCCACTTTCAGAGGGAAATTATCTTGGTGTTGTCATGGTGACGCACTTTGCAAAGCTCTGTGTGGCTGCAGCCTCTACATGAGCCCTCTGTGTGTGGTCACGATGCTCAGTCTTGACTTTGCTTTGCTGCGAGTCACCGTGTAAAACTAACAGTTTGCCTTCCTGCAGCGCTCTGGTTACCTGCATCGGGAGGTCCTGCAGATAGCCGAGCAGTACCCGAACATACGAGCCACGCCCTGGAGGATGGTCACCATCTGGGGCGGGGCCAGCCTGCTGAAGGCGTACCTCCACAGCATGCAGGACCTGCTCACCATGCTGGACTGGAAGTGGGACTTCTTCATCAACCTCAGCGCCACCGATTTCCCCACCAGGTTGGTCAACACTGTGACATCATCATGATGTCATTCCCTTAGCTACCCCTTCTGTCCCTGGAAGTGGTTAAAGCATAACGGTGCACACAGCAGCACGCACTAATGGGCCTATCCAAACACTGACATCAGGACAACAATAAAACATACAGCAGCCTTAAACTAATTGAACAACATTTTTGTATTTAATTTCACAATAATAGGTCAAATATGTAATTTAAAGTCATTTCCAGTTTGCATTTGTTTTTGCAAGGCAACTCGTGACCCCCCTCCCAGTGTCTCGCGACCCCCCAGGGGGTCCCGACCCCCACTTTGGGAACCACTGCCTTAGCTGCTCATCAGCCTTAATCAAAGCTGTTCTGGGCTGAGCTGCATAAAAAGTTTGATTTGATCGAAGGAAACTGATTTCACTCCTGGATGTAATCAGCTGGAGACATCTTCAAGACTTTAATCACAAATCTGTTTTCTTCCTTTTTTAATTCTCATCTTTAAAACTCTCTCGCCTGCAGGACCAACGACGAGCTGGTGTCGTTTCTATCGCAACAACGAGACAAAAACTTCCTCAAGTCCCACGGGAGAGAAAACGCCCGGTGAGTAAGACAGCTGGAACAAAAAGTTAAGGGTGGAGCTTTAACATCTGATCCAAACTATTCAGAGTTTTTTCCCCAAAAAATATTAAAGGGATAGCTCATGAGAAGTTATGTGGTTATTCAGCATTAGGGGTAAAAATCAGTCAGAGACTTTTACCTCCTTTCTGCTCAATCAGACTTTTATTCACTCCAGCGTCTCTCCCCCTCGTCATGACCTCACGCTGCTCTCTGTGTTGAAGGTTTATCAAGAAGCAAGGCCTCGACCGTCTCTTCCACGAGTGCGACAACCACATGTGGCGTCTGGGCGAACGCAGCATCCCCGACGGCCTGGAGGTCTCCGGCGGCTCTGATTGGTTCGCGCTCACCCGCCGCTTCGTGGAGTACGTCATCAACTCCCAGGATGCACTGGTGTCGGGGCTGAAGCAGTTCTACTCCTACGCTCTGCTCCCCGCCGAGGTGAGTCAGCCCGAGTCAGCGCTCTGTTTACCTCCCGCAGTCGAGACGAGACAGTTTCGATCTGCGGACGCTCGTCCACGCCGTCAGCTCAGAGGATGATGGAAGACGCTAAGCTCTCTCAGGCACAGCGTGCGGCAGAGACACCCGAGGAGGGAACGCCGCCATTTATCTGACTGTGTGCTGTCATGTCTCTGAAGCTGCGGCGGGTTGTTCCCTCATGTTCCCTCAGTTAAACACGTGTTAGTGATTAGGAACCGTTAGTACCAGGTTCTGCAGACGTTTCAGTACTACAAATTTAAAAAAAAACATTCTTCATCCAATGTCCTGTCATGAACAAAAAAGGCATTTCCCTTAAACACGTTATGCCACCAGGGGGCTCTCAATCAAAACAATAACAAAAGATGACGTCTTGTTTGGCGGGGAATCATGGGAGTGATTCGATCTGCTCCTCCCCCCTCCCCCCCTCCCCAATTACAACGACCTCTGAGTTGGCCGTAGTCATGACGACCTCAGAAAGAGAATATGTAATCAGAGTATAAATTGACAGGCAGCTTACAGTAGCAGCTCACGCCTCCTTATGCAGCAGACTTTGACGTAACATCTGGTGTTTCCACGGCAACAATATCGGTTCAATAAGAGTTGAAGACAAAACTACACATCAACCTTACAAAGCCCGGTTGTTTGGCTGCTGTTTTATCACACATGAGCAACATGGCGTCCACATGAACTCTCATGTTGTTGAGTTTAGAGGCAAAAGGAAAACAGAAGCTCGGTTACTTACAGGCGTCCGTCCCATGGCAGACGCGCCGCTCAAATTATCTTCAAGGATAAAAACAAGGCGCCATTTTTTATACTTTTATTGCAATACATTAACGTTTCCGATCATTGTACTTACACATATTTGCAACATTTTTTTCAGATTTTTTTTAACACCCAGTGGTACAAAGGAAACAATACATAGAAATATATACACAGTATGCAGATTCAAAATGCATATAACATTAAACCAAGGTCATACAATGGACCCTCTCTTATGTCTGTGGCATTATTGTTATTTTTGTTATCTCATGCTAGGAGATGACTTGCATGCTCTGCCTAAGTGGTCTGTACTTTTTTTGGTATAGGATGTGCTGCATTGTTTTAAAAACTGTTAAAAGTTAATAAAAACTTAAGTTACAAAAAAAAATGCATATAACAGAGGCAGAATCCAGAGTGAGCTTTGTGCCTCCTTTTTACAAACATACAGATATTTAGGTTAAGCATACTGTTAAAGAAATAAAATAAAAAGGATTACATGAGAACACAGCGGCTCTTAAAGGAACAGTACACATTAACAGCTGTTACAGGAGGTATCAAGTAACGCTGTACAAACTCTCTTCCTCTCAGTCCTTCTTCCACACTGTGCTCGGGAACAGCCACATGTGCGACTCGCTGGTCGACAACAACCTGCGAGTCACAAACTGGAACCGTAAGCTGGGCTGCAAATGTCAGTACAAACACATCGTGGACTGGTGCGGCTGCTCTCCCAACGACTTCAAACCACAAGACCTCATCAGGATCCAGGTAAAGGGGCGAGCCGAACGGACGAGAGCTGCTGTTTCCTGTTTGGTTTATGGTCAAAAGGCTTCAATTCTGTTTTTCTCTTTGAATTCACAGCAACTGAGCCGCCCGACTTTCTTCGCCCGTAAGTTTGAGTCGTCGGTGAACCAGGAGGCCATCGACATCCTGGACACTCACCTGTACGGTCAGTACGCACCGGGCACCGTGGCTGTCAAGGCGTACTGGGAGAGTGTGTTTGAGCAGCTGGACGGCATGGGCTCGCTCAGCGACGTCGCTCTCACCGCCTACACGGCGTTCTTTCGCCTCGGCCTCAAACACCTGGAGACTTCTCAGAGCAGCGTGGACGCCTGCAGGTATGCGACTCCTCTCTCGCCTGTCGATGGTTAACCACGTTTCTCTCCTCAGTAGAAACAGTTTTCATCCATTTTATCTCCCTGCAGGTTTGAACCAGTAGGCCTCCCTCTCTCAGTGCACCTCTACTTCTATGACGACCGTTTCCAAGGTTACCTGGTGCGTCAGGAGGTCCAGGCGGCAGGCTCAACGGTCAGAGAGACGCTGGAGATGTGGGCGGTCCCTCAGGCGACGCTCGTCCTTGAGACCAACCTGAAGGAGTTTGAGAGGCTGAAGAATCTGGAGGTAAGAGTTTTTTCTTTTCTTCTTCTGTCTGAAGGTTACGACTCGGTGACGTCTCTGTTCTAACTTTTAATAAAAACACTTTAAAAAGAAAACTGCTGTAGAAGAAGATTTTTCTCCCTGATATGAAAATGTGAAGAGTTTAATTAGAGGCTGAAATGACCCGACGTACTGAACTTAAAAGATGAAGAATATTCTGAGAGAAGCTGGTTCAGAGAGTGCTCACCTTAAATATGAAAGTCAGACACAGTCACACTTTGTGTCGCTGTGTTTTGTAAAGATTTGACTGACTTCAGGAGAAGTCTGTATTTTATTTTATAGAAAAAAGCTGCTGACTCCATCTTTAAAGACTTAATATGTGATTTTTCACACTTAAATGTAGAAATCAAGTATATCCTCTGAAAATAACTCTGTGAGTCATGACTGTCTACAATGGGTGTAACACCCGAGTCCCACTGTCTGTGATGTCTTCAGAGTCCTATCTTCAGTTTGTTTACATCGCCTGGACGGCAGCAGACTCCTCCCCTCACGTATAAAAGTTGTTTAATTGAGGGACTAGAGAAAAGAAGAATAACATACTGTACTCACTGCTTAACTGTGTTTCTAGATCACGCTCATTTCAGGTAAATTTACATGCCGTGTGAAGATACGAGCATAATAACGATCACTAGCATTAGCATGCTAACACAACAATGCAGCGCGAGTTGTTTTGGTTTCATGCTGGTGCTCAAGGGCGACATCTGCTGGATCAAAAAATCGAATATAAAGCCTTTAAAACAAAATTTAAAGTTCAATGCATATGAGGACAGAAGTAAACAAAAACATCAGAGAAAGGGGAAAGGGAGCTTCAGACGAGCGAGTCCAGTCCGGTCTGATTCACAGAAACTATCGCGACTTCCAACGAGGCATTCATATACAAAAGAAAAAAACCCGAAAGGAAGCGGGACACCATGCAACAAACTTTTAGCTCCAACAGAACGCACTCACCTGTCCCTCACAGCGGGCTTCATTAGAGATAAAACTGAGTGAATGGTCGGGCTGTACGAGTGACGGTGTGTCTGAGACGGAGATGACATCACAGCCTCTCAATTCAGAATCAGATTTATTGGCTTAAACACAATGAATTTAACTTTGGTAAACTGTGCTCTCTTATGTACAAAGTTATAACATTAAATATCAACAATAAACACAAAAATAAACAAATAAGCAAAGACTAATATGTACAAGGCTAAATAGGATAATATAAGATAATGGTGCAGTGGTGAGTAGTGCAAAGATCCTAAAGTAAACATGAGGTAGTTTTTACAGTATTTACGTTAAAAAGTGTTTGTATATGATAATTTAAATTAAATAATATATGTTTATTCTGCTAAGAGATTTGTCGTAGTGACGTCAGATTTCCTGTATTTATTTCTCCTGACAGATCGGTACGGATTGGGATCCTAAAGAAAGAATCTTCCGGAACTTTGGCGGGTTGATCGGCCCGTTGAGTGAACCCCTGGCGGTCCAGAAGTGGGCGCGCGGTCCTAACCTCACCGCCACCATCGTTTGGATTGACCCGGCTCTGGTGGTGGCGGCGTCTTATGACATCACCGTGGACGTGGACGCAGAGTACACGCAGTACAAGCCGCCGCTGCAGCGCCCCCTACGGCCCGGCACCTGGACCGTACGCGTGTTGAAACAGTGGGAGCTCGTTGCGGAGGTCCGGTTCCTCGTCACGCCGTTGACCTTTAAAGATAAGGAGCCGTTCCGTAAAGGTGAGACTTCAGAGCTTTTTGATGGTCGTTATTTCCGCTCTCTGATGTGTGGAAAGCTAATTTTTCTTTTCTCTCCTTGTCTCCAGACGAGGACAGCTGGCTCCACGCCGGTCCTCCAGGTAACCTGTACCTCGAGCAGAGCTTCCAGACTCTGAGCTCCGTGCTCAAGCTTCCTCCTCAGGCGGCCGCGCTGCAGGAGGCTCAGCAGAGAGCGCAGCTGGTGGGTCAGAGCCTGGAGGCGTGGGTGGACAGCAGCGTGCGGACCTACTGGGTCACAGGAGACGTGTGCTCCACACAGACTTCTTCTCCTCCTGCCCCGCTGTGGGACCCTGCTCCAAGACCTCCTGGAGTGCTTTGTCCCCAGATCCAAAGTCTGAACTGGGTGCTGTGAAAAGTGACGGCAGGATCAGGTAGCAGCGCCGGAGGAGAGACTGAACACAAACACAGGAGGACTGAGGAGAACCTGTGTGGCCCCACAGATCGCCTCAGAGGTCGACTCAGACCCTGAAGGCCTCATGAACAACGAGACGTCTTCCTGCACTGAGAAGTCGAGACGTTCTCTTTGAAACAGACTGATGACAGGAGGATGTGAATGCTGGAGTTTTGCACATAGAGGTATGCAAGAGGAAAGACAAACGAGTTCTGTCTTCAGAGAAACTTTGAGGTTGTCAAAATCTTTTTATACTTTTCCCTACCAGGTGTTTAAAAACGATACAATCCCCGTCATCTTAATGATCGAGAGTTAGAAAAGGACCCAAGCTTTTAAAAACCACTTCAGATGTGTCCGGTAATATTTATGTTTTTAACCAGAAACTTCTGCAAGTGAAAGAGAGAGAGAACACGTCGCCAACATTTTGGTACTGAAACTTTGTGCAGTACAGACTGTGCAGGAGTTTTTCTTATCAAAAATGAGAGATGATCAAACATTCGGTGCCCAGGACTTCTATCAGGTATCGATGCGTTTCTGTTTTTTTCCAGAATGGTCTCAGAGTTCATCCTGACAACCCATCGTGTTATTCTATTGGAACAAAAGATTTAAGTCTGCGCCATGTTTGACTCTTGTTTGAGTGCTCAGTTTTCCCGATTCCTTGAAAGTATCAGGACGCCCGACTCGCCCACAGGCTCCTCCTCCCTGTGCTCGATCTCCATTTGGAGGCAGAGATGATTCTCTGCATCGTTTAATCGTGCTTGTTTTGAAGCATTTAAATATGTAAAATATGACAGACAGATGAAGTGCACTTTACTGTAAGACGACGAGGTCACACAGAGGTCACGCAGAGGTCCACAGAGGGTGAGGAGGGTCGCATCACTTCATCCCACAGGAGACTCTGAGGCAGATACCTGCACAGACACATCACTGAGCACCTGTGACCTGTACGAGGAAAAACTAAGGAAGGGGAGGGGTCTAAGATTTAGATTTTAGTTTCATTTTTAACGTCATTTCACTTCAAACATGTTTTGTTTTTGTTTTTTTAATTGTCTGTTTGTGTCTTTTGACGTCCATTGTTGCATTAAAGAGCCACTCTGAGTTGTGTAGCTGGTCATAGGAAAAGCCTGGCGAGCTGCAGATTACGAGGTTTTACTCAAAATGCGTCTAAAATAGGATCTCGACTAAAACCTCTCGACCACAGACGTTCATTTGAGCGATCTAAACCCTCTTAGACAGACTGAGGAAGAGAACCCTGTGAAAATAGGAACAACCAACTGTAACCAACTGACGCTCTGATGTCTGAACCAAATGTTCAGCCTCTTACGTCGGGGTGTGGAAACGTTTTGACGCGAATGGGAGACAAAATGTCAACCGAAATGAAATAACAGTAGGAAGTAATAATAGTCAGGAAGCGGACCGAGATGATGAAATGATGATCATAATCCAGATCAGATGAGATCAAAAGTTATATTCACGTTTACGCTTAAGAACCGTGTGATCGCACCGCTGATGCCGACTGACTTCCTGTTGACCCTTGAACTTTAAACACTAATTAACCTGCTTTACGATGATCACCATGTAGCGTCTAAATTAAATAAATAAACATGTAAACAAAACTATTTAAAAACATTACATAATGTCATTTATTATCTATATACCACTTTACTAGGGGGGTGCTGGAGCTGATCCCAGCTGTCATTGAGTGAGAGGCGGGGTTACACTCTGGACTGTCAGCCAGCCAATCACAGGGCTGACAACCAGCCACACTCACATTCACACCTACGGGCAATTTAGAGTCAGCAGTTAAGGTAACGAGCATGTTTTTGGACCGTGGGAGGAAGACGTAGAACCAGGAGAGAACCCACACTTGCACGGGGAGAACATGCAAACTCTACACAGAGAGACTCCTGTCAGACGGGGATTCAAACCAGGAACCTCCTCACAGAGAGCAACAGCACTAACCACTGGCCCACGATTTTATTATTGTCCAAATTGACTTTTTTGAAATTTGCTGCTTCTGTCAAACGATCATTTATATCCCAAAAGTTTTTATTTATAAAAAAAAAGCAGCAGAATCTGACGACTAAGTCCTCGTGTCCACCTCGTGTGTTTTTCTGGACGCCAGCGTCTTTTTTAATGAGTAGAGAGCGTTTGCAGCGGCAGGCGCCCGTCTGGAGAAAAAAAGTGCAGCGCCCAACGCCTTTTGTTGAGCGGAGCGTCGAGTTGAAAATCTTCTTAAACTTTTCAGAAAGGTGTGTTCACATCACCGGCGCTCTTGATATTCCCCGTAGTTTTACCGCCCATCCTCCTGGCTCCGTGTCTGATCGGGGAAATAAACAATCTCAAATATAAAACATGAAATAAAAAGTAACGGAGCAGTGTCGCTCATACAGCGGTCATGGTCAACAGACTGTTGTCATGGAGACAGGACAGATGTGCAGCGCTTTTCTTCTTCAAAGGCTTCATGCAAACGCTCCTGAGCGCACAGTCAGCGCTTTACTACTCAGACATAACGCCGGGTGGACACGGAGTCAGCAGCCGTGGGTTCGATTCCGGGGGCCAAACTCTTGAGATGTGGCGCTTCTCCTTCAACTTTAAAATGATGAACGGTTTGTCGTCCTCTTCTTCATGCAGTGTTGAACCTCTGTGGACTCGCAGGCGGTTCATTGTTTGTTTCTAAAGGATTCATCGTGTTGTTGTTTGTGTAAACAGCTGTGTGTTTGTCTGTTTGTGTTTTGACTTTAACGTGCCGGAGTGAATCGAAGCGGCCTTCTCGTAGCTGAAAGAGGAAATGTTTACTCCGGGATTTAAAGCTTCCAGAGACGTGCAATGAAGCCTTTCAGAGGAGACTGAACCCCGTCTGGGTCTTAGTTTGTCCTTTTTTTTAAAAATCTGTCATGTTTTTTTTTTAAGAACGGTTTGTCACATTGTGTATTTGAAGTGACCTTGTTTACCTTGCACAGTACAGTCGCTTCAGTGAAGCTCAGAGTAATCAGAGGTTATTTTTCTAAAACTGTTTGAGAGGAAGTGTGTGTGTTCATCGATTACAAACTGCTGTCTTATTATTCTGATGATGTCGTGTGTCTCAGTCTGTTCACAGTGAGCCGACTCTCTGTTTCTGTTTTGTTGCTTTCAGCGGGATGTGAGACAGTTTGAGTTTGTGACTCGAGCTGGTCTGAGTAGAGGACTTACAGGATCCACATCCTGACGGACGATCAATAAAAAACACTTCAAGAAAGCTTGTTCTCTCCTGCTCTCGTCTTTAACTCGCCCTTCAGGGACACGCCCCTCCAACGTTTGAAAGTTGTTCTTCTAACATCAGTGTGTTCAAGTTTATTAAGTAAATTATCTCTGTTCACCAAAGAGCATCCTCTGCACAACTCTGGAGTAACTGAGCCCGACCGATTCATCGTTCAGCCGATATTATCGACCGATATCAGCACATCAAGTGACTATCGGTATCGGCTAGTTTTGTCCTAGATATGCGCCGATAAATCTTTTTATTTACCAGTCAAATAGCATGACATTTGAGTTTCTTTGTATTGCACTAACAGCTCTCTTTCACCAGCAGAGGGCGCTATATGGATTACAACAAACATCATCACTCCAGAGTGTCGAGCGGTGATGCACGTACATGCTCAGTTACTTTCCATCAGAGTGACCATCTTGTCTTTTTTATAAATCTTTTCCACAAGTGTTTGATAAACTGCATCTTAGGGATCAACACAAAAATTATATATATATGTATCTCTACAGATCAAAGAGAGATCTAAGAAAGATATCGGCCGATATATCGATTATCAGTATCGGCCCCAAAATCTTGTTTCGGTCTGACCCTACTTTGGAGCAGTCCAGACTTAGGTGAATAAATGTAACCTTGATGACCATCCAGCCAACATTTACCTCCATGTGTGTTATTTTGATGTGCTTCTTCAACAGTCCCATTTCCAAAAGTAGAACATCTTTCCTCCATTTCTGAATTGTGCTCAAGTTCTCAAGTTTTCAATTTTTACTGCTCAAACTTTATTCAAACGTCATGTATGTTCACAACAACAACCCAAATCACAACGCAGCCAAAAATGTAAATTCATTGCAGGAATTACTCCAAAGATTTTCACCATCAAGACGACATTTACTCGGGTTCGACGTGTTTCTGCCGACCTCATCCTGCCAACATCTCCCGACTTTCAGAGTTCAGTGTTTCGGACTTTGAAACTTTCATGTCCTATTTTTCTAAAAACCAGCTGAGTGAAAGATGTGACGTCAAACCGGTCGACTTGTTTACCCATATTTACTCCGACTTTCTGAGTCCTGGTTCCGACTTGTAAGAACCAGAACTTGAACATTCCTGACCCACAGCTCTTATTTCCAGTTATTCCAATCCCGCTTAAACTCGAGGTGAATCTAGTATTATGGTCATTCTCTATAACCATGTACGCTGCAGTCACACGTTCATGGTCGTGTCTTTATGAGCGGTGTTTCCTCCTTTAAAGCGCAGGATGTAGAACATGTTGAGCAGTAGGAGAGGAGCTCTCCAGGGTGCTGAACGCGTCCGACATGGTTCGACTTCATAAATACTGTAAACGTCCTCCTCTTGTTTGTCCCGGGCCGGAACCCTTTGATAACACATAAATATTTACTCGTGTTTGTTGCGTGCATGACAACACAGCTGGAGGTCATTTCTTTGTAGAGGATAAAAACACGGGTGGCGAGCTGGAGGAGGCGATGACTGCCTGAACGAGCGGGCGCTGCTGCAGGAGAAGACGTGTAGAGGTGAAGGTGTAGAAGCGGATAAAAAAAAAAAAAACAGGTTTGACAAGCGGGATGGTCGACACGGAGGCTCGGAGGAGGGCGATGGTTTCCTCTGACAGTGCGTACGGATCATCAGCAGAGGACGGACTCACTCCAACATCCATCATCTACCCGTATGATGAAGACCTGATACACAAGGTGAAGTAACCATTTACACATCCAGCTGTTTGTTGATCTGACTCTGAGTCTACAAACGACCTTTACCAGGTAAAATTCACACAAACATGCAGCTCAACGTGATAAGTGTTTGACCCGATTGTGTTTATTTATTTTTGGAGCTTTTTATGAGAGAGGGGGAGAGAGAGAGAGATAGAGAGAGAGAAAGTGAGGTAAACGAGCCACAGGTGGGATTTTAACCCGGGCCATCCGCTTTGAGGACTGTAGTGTCTGTAAGGGTTAAATAGACTTGAGCTTTGAGTAATCAGAAGACTAGAAAACCGCTTTCCAAGCTCAAGTCCTTTAACCATCAGAAGTAACTCATCCAGTCACACACCGCTTGGTTCAGTGTCTTTCCAAATGCATGAACGGGCTAAACTATATCGGACATGCAGGAGCTGCAGGAGCTGGGGATTGAACCCCCTACCTTTCCGGTCGAGAGACGACCGACTCTACCACTGATCCACAGCCGCCCAGACTAAACCACTACGTGGTTGGCGTCCCACTTACTGTGTCATGTAAACCTTCTGGATTATTACATAACCTCCCGCTGGCTGGGGAAGCTGACAGCAGCGTCTCTTTCTGTTCCTCTTGATTCATGTTTTCTTCTGAACAGATGACATTTTTAGGGGGGGGGGGATTTCTTTATTTAGAGACAGGACAAAAAAATCGAGGGGAGAGAGAGAGTAGGGGATGACAATGTGGCGGCCGTCTCTCACCTGGAACCAGCGTTACTCCTTATCTCTGGAAAACGGAGGTCGATGAAACGTATGGATTCATTTCTGCTCACTGATAATGTGAGAGTTTCATGTTTCCACTTTCTCATTATGACACATCTCTGAGGTTACATTTCATAAACATCCATGGAGACATTTTCGGCCTCCTCCACCTCCGCCCTTTTCCTCCATCATTACATCCTAACTGCGCCCTCGCTGCTCGCTGTGTCTGGAGAACGTTTACACGCCAGCAGCATCAAAGTTTGATGAAGGAGGCATGAAATAATAATATGTTGATTTAACACCGAAACTCCGTAACAGTGACTCATCCATTCAGAAGCTTCATCCTGCACTCACTTAGACTTCAGGGCCAGTTTGGGTTCCACTCACGCTGAGGAGGAAATATTTCCACCAGTCTGTTATTTAATTTATATTAAAGGAGCAGTATGTAACTCTGACCCCTAGTGTTTAAAATGAGTACTGCAGTCTAAATTCTAAACATTGCAGAGAGCTGTCTCCCCCCCCCTCTCTAGAGTCGATGCTCTCACAGGTCACCATGTGGTGGACACTGAAGCTTCAGTGTTTATCCAGCTCTGCATCGGTCTGTAAACCTTTCTGTGTTCTAACCTCTCTCCATTTTTCAAAAGCATCTCCAATATTGATCCTAGTTTGAGCACGTTTCTGCTCGTGGAGCTTATTAGAAACATGCAGAGGCTTTTTAGGTCGGGTACAATCACTTCTATCTGAACCACTTCTCTTGCCCGCTTCCATCACTGCAACACCTGTTGGTTTGACAGGTTTGATTACTGTGTTGTGTGTTAGTTGAATGAGATGCTGAGTAAAGTGCAGATATCTGAAAATCGTCATCCCTGCCTCTGTTTTCTGCAGACGATCCTGGTCGGGGACAGCGGCGTCGGGAAGACGTCTCTGCTCGTTCAGTTCGATCAGGGGAAGTTCATCCCGGGCTCCTTCACCTCCACCGTGGGCATCGGATTTACAGTTAGTCCAGACTCCTTCCTGAACGTCACCTGAACACCCCCCCCCCAACCTGATTCTGTCATCCTCACTTTTTTTTTTATTCCTATCCATCAAATTTTGTTTGTTTCTCGGCTGTTTGCAGCTTGAATGAGTCCTGCAGAGTGAGACATTGTTTCTTCTCACTGCATGAATTACGATTCCTATCACTCTGTGTGTGTGTGTGTGTTCGGCATTAATAAAGCTAATGATGCCACTGTGATGATTAAATTACTGAGTGGAGAACACACTAATGAGCGATGTGGCAGCTGCCCGTGTGCTGCTGTTTGTTCCAAAGCTGTTACAAACACGATGTTTTGTGACGGGGTGGGGGGGCGAACAGAAGGGCGGCTCGGCTCACTGAGTGGATGATCTCTGAGCTTTAAGCTTTGTGATGTTGAGTGTTGAAACAGCTGAGGAGGCAGAAAGCTGTGAGGAAGTATAAAACTGGCTTCCTGCATTAGCATGTGGTCGTGTCTGATTCAAGGTTCATTAACCCTGCAGGGAAATGCACAACAGAAAAAATAACTCATCCTGCTGCCTTTTTTAGATGCACTTTCTTAGCAAATATCAATGATATTTCTCAGGTAGACCCCCAACTTTTAATTGAAGCTCTCTTCTTCTCCTCATGTTCACCTTTCATTCTGTCAGTCTGTGAAACATACAGATGAAAAAATCTCCTCATTTATCTGATACCGGCGTCAGGAAAATCCTTTATTTCAGTCTCTGCCTGAAATGCTTCATTTCAGCTGCTGTCTCTTTAAGGCTCCCCATGTGCCCGCTCTCTTCTGATTGGCCAGCTCTCTCGAAGCCTTCCAGGGGAGGGCTGCTCTCCAGTGCTGGGAGAAGAGAGTCTCTGTAAGAGGTTTCACCGGCTTATGTTGAGGCTTGAAGCCGTCTTGAGAAATTCTTGGTTTCATATCGGGGAACTTTGGCGGTATTCGCAGAACAAGTCGTTTAGCGCCCTCTGCAGACTCATCCTGGGTTTACTCCAGCCTTACTATAATGTAAACAGTTGTATAAACATTCAGCCCATTCAGTTGAAGAGAGAAATGAGCTCTAGAGACCCAAACTGTTTAAATGTTTATTTTAACATAGAGCTCTATGGAGACTGACTCACTGCAGGAGACAGACTCTAGTGGACACTGGAGGAACATCTCTTAATTTCTCAGGCCTTGAGATTGATTCTGGAGGAAACATGCAGAACATCCTCTCAGTTCTGTTGAGAATGAAATCAGAGAAAACATTCAGTCTCTTTTTATCTCCACTGATAAACGTTGAATCATGATGTCCATGTCAGAGCGGTGAGATGTAGCCTGCAGCAGAGCGATGATGAGTTCAGTTTAAACAAGAGATGACATGTCGGTTATGTAACATAAATGATCTCTGAGTGAGTGTCATTAGTTCTGTCACCACAAAGAGGGGGAGGGAGGAAAACTTCTTCTTCTTCTTCTTCTTCGATTGGCCACTAGGGGGAGACAAACACTGCAGGATGAAAGGCTTTAATTTTGATTCCCAGTGAGACCATCTTAAACATGTGTTACATGTTGATAATTACATGAAGAGATTTGAGATATTTGTCATTATTTGTTTGGTTTTTTTGCTTTTGGAAATTTGGGATTTTTGTTGGTTTGCCTGTTAGAGGAGGAGTGGATGAAGAGGAATTATCTGTTAATTGAGATTAAATTGAACAGTAACAAACGTAAGGAACTCCTTTCTGATCATGTGAGATGCTCTTTTTTTGAGATTTCCAAAGCAGGGAGGGATCTGGACGGAAATGCGCAAATTTGACGCACGCGTTCTCCTCCAAGAAGAATCTTTCCTCTCTGCTTGAAGGGAAGATTTACGTTTTTTAATGAAGTGTATTTACACCTGACAGTCAAAGTTGATCCCTCTGTCCTCCGCTCCGGGTCTCTCTCCTCTCTCTGACCCTCTCCCTGATCGAGCACCACCTGTGGCGGATGAGTCAGCCTCCACCACCACCACCACCACCGTGCGCTGTGTGACCCCGCAGCTGTTTGGGGGACAGAGTCCGCCTGCAGACAAAGCTCGGAGAGAGGAAACACAGCGCTGAACACTCAGTTAATGATCTGCCCACGCCACGATGCACAATCACACCGAGCTCTCCGCCTGTTTGACATCACCGCCGCTCTCCTGACGCCGATTGTTCTGCAAGTTTTCATCGTCGCTTCCGTCTTCTTCTCAGAGCGGCTTGAAGGTGCGATTATTGGAGGAGGCTTGAATGAGTGATTTTTAAGAGGAAGTGCCCGGTGATCATTTTCGTGTTCCACGCGCAGTAATGCGAGCAGCGGCGGGGCTGGAGGCTCGCGAAGAGCGGGACTGAGCGGCGGAGAACGTGCGCGTCTTTCTTGGACACATCTCGGAGGAAACAGCGGCTCGGCTCGGCTCTGACAGCCTCCTCTTGGCTTTACGATGTCTGCAAGAAAGACATCACTGACGGACAAGCATACTAAAAACGGAACCTCCAAATATGTGCTGGAGAGATGCGCCTCTGTTAACGAGTGTTATGATATCGCCTTCAAGGTGTGTATTCCGTCTTTTCTCTTGTGTGTGTGTTGATGTTTTTCTTTGTGGTGGAACAGGTGTCTTTATTTAGTACAGAAACAACCTGCAGGAACAACATCTGGAGGAGTCTCGTGCAGTATAACATTCATTTAAGTGAAATCCAAAAACTCCATAGACTGGATTTTTACGCATCATGCCTCCTTTAAGAGGTCATATTCTCATCTTGTTTCCTCGCAGAGTCTTCGACCTGATGCTGTATTGTGCATGACTAAGAAGTCCTCTGAGCCTGTCAATCTCTATATCCGCCCTCTCTGAAATGTAAATATTTGCTCAGGGTGTACTTGTTGCGTCTTCCTGCAACCAAACCCTCCCATGATTGATTTCTAAAAGCTGCACAGACACACCTGTGACTGCTTCATCAGGACAAAAGGAGAAGTTAAAATCAGGTTTAATGGCATGCCAGGTCTTGTATGTTTGTGCAGCTATGACTCACTGTGTGAACAACATGTTAGCTTAGCGTCACACGCTGCAGGATGGATTGTCTAACTGCACATCCTGTTGTTTGTGAGTTTATTGATTAGTCTTTGAGAAGACGCAGACTGAAGGATAATGAACAGGAGATGTGTGATGCTCCTCTCAGAGTTGTCACAGCGTCACATGTTGGTGGCAGCTCGGCTGTGTAGTTTGTCTTCTGATGTAAATCAGCTGACACATTAACTGACAGCTGCCAAAACAACATTGCACAATAACATCATCATCTGACCCAAACGGCAACATCCCAGTTGTGAAATCTTCTTCTTCTTCTTCAATCATCCCTCTGCAGATTTAATCTCCTCTTCTTGTACTGTCAGGTTTTGTCATGGTTTTTTGTAACCTGCTGTCTTCTTCTCTGGTACCCGGTTCGGCTCTGTAGGTGATGCTCCTGGGAGACTCTGCCGTGGGGAAGACGTGCATCTTGGTGCGCTTTAAAGACGGAGCATTTCTGGGAGGAAACTTTATAGCCACCGTTGGAATAGACTTTAGGGTGAGAGAGACTCACAGACCTACTTCCTTCCTTCCTTCCTCTGAGTGACTGTGTGAGCTGATAAAGACTCTGAAAACCCAAACCAGCATTAAACGTCTAATTCAGGTTCCTACACACGTGATAGTAAGCATCTAAAAAGCATTAGCACTAAGGTTTAAGCTAAATAAAACATATGGCCACTTAAAGCTGCTGTGAGACTCTTTTGATTTGTCTTAAAGGAGATCTATCACCCTCACTGTCACCATTAAAGATTTCAGTCTGAGACTCCTGTTGAGTCACGCTGTGAGATGTGCAGCTCAAAAAACCTCCTTATTCATTTATTTTTATTTATTTTACAGGGACATTGCATATTAATAAACATTTCGGTAAATATGCCAGAGTTAGCCAAAAGGCTATTTTTCATCTGTTGTCCCTGGCCAGATTTTATAAAAGCTCCCTAAAAAAAAACAAATTCAAACATCGCTAAAAGCTACAAAAATAGAAATATCATGACAGTAATGAAGCAGACAGGTAAGCAGCCACAGGAGAAAATACATAAACCATGCAGGATACACATAAAGCAGCATTTGGTTAATATAAAAAACAAGTATTAGGGAAGGCATGTATAACCTACTAAAGTAAATCTTAAATGTGGCGTCAGTAAAATCCCTCATTTCCGCCTCTGCCTGAAACGCTTCATTCTGGTTACTGTCTCTTTAAGGCCCCGCCCCCCCTACATGCTGCCCACCAGGGGGCAGTAACCACATAGAGAAGTCAGTCGTCGAGCTAGCTTGTGTCCTTGTTTGCTTTTTTGAGAGACATTTTTATCATGTTCAGTTTGTTTCATGAGCAGTTTAAAACTCCTCACAGTGGTCACATCTTTGTAAACTTTACTAATATCTGAGTTTAGATTGAGGGCGGTGAAGCAGGCGGATATTTATTACAAATATTAGTCAATAATTTCCATGCACCGATTGTTAGAGTTTCCGCATGGCTGCTCTTTCCCGTTTGCACTCTGAGTTACCTTCATCCTTGAGTGATTCTAAACTGAGGTTTGATCGCTGCCTGTTTTGAGTGTCGACTGCGGCTGTCAGTTGTCGTCTGTGAAAGTTCATTGCTGGTTGTTGATCTGTTTTCAAAGGCGAGGGGTTTCACATCGCTTTAGAGGTGTGAACACGACGGAGCTATCAGAGCGTTTAGTACCCCGAGCAGTCGGAGATCAGCTGGAATGAATACTGTCATAGTCTGACTCCCACAGCCAAAACATGAAGCTGATTGTCACATGCTCCGCTGTAGTGGGCGGAGTCAGGGAGATGTCAATCAAAAATGATGTAAGCAGTAAAATAAGCTCTTTTTGAAAGGTTTGATTAATACTTATAAATGTTTATTTCCGCTCAGATTTAATGGATGCTGAGTCAGACTCTAAGCATTTTTTTTATTCTTTCCTGAGGCTTTAATGCTTCTTTTGTCTTTGTGTTATAATTTGTTAATCATCTCACAAACAACCTAATGATATTTACGAGGCAGCAGAGGGATCTTTCTTCTGAGAGTGACAGCAGCCCAATTATCACCTTCACTCCACGCAGAACACTTCATCACTCTGCGATGATCGCATCAAATGTACTAACCTCTTTCCAACCAATCAGACGAGTTCACGGACCACTCGTGCTGCGAGGCGCTCAGGACCGACTCATAAACGTCTCGGCTGATGCCTGCCCACGTCCCTGTCTGCTGCTGCTGCTGCTGCGACTGGCTGCCTGCTCAGCTCGGTCCTGGAGGAGTCGCACGGCTGACAGACGAGCTCACACACCTAGACACACACACACACACACACACACACACGCACACACACACACAGAAGGAAACAGGGACTGACGCTTCATTAGGAGCAGATTTCTCCCGTATTATTTTCTCTGCTGGGGTAAAAAAAAAATCATCTGTTTTGAGCGAGCAGTCAGTACCTCCTGTTTCCCCCAATCAGGGCCAAACACTCAGACTAATGGCGAGTCAAGTAGGAGGGATTTAAGGAGGAAATTGAGTTGCATTAGCCGGAGTGATGCATTGTCTTCTTTGGATGTTGGTGTGCACATTAGGGAGCATAATGGAGGCCATGAGAGATGGAGCTGTAAAGCATTAAACATTTCATCCAGCCTCCCTCCCGCCCGAGCAGAAGCAACAAGTGCCTCGGCCTCTTCATTCACAGAAAGTGTTCAATTGAAAACCGACACCGGCTTTACACTTCAAACAACACGATGCGTTCAGTGTTGCTCCTTTCATTCAGGAGACGGCCTGTTAATGTAAGCGATCACCTTTTGTTTCGCTGCATGAAAAGATGCATTAGAGAGATAAAGTCAATATGCTGATGAGGTCGTCCTCCGTGCTTGGATAAGCAGGCAGGCTGTTGTGGCAGCTTGGAACATGGCCGGGCTATTTTCGGCATCCTTCCTTGTAGCAGTTACTCAGCATGCAGGCTCCTCTCACGTCATAATTGGGGGGTGGGGAGGAGGGGATGGAAACCCATGGCAACTAATGCAGGGGTTGAACCATGTCCGTTCTACTGAGGCGGAGGATTCAGCAGGTGGCAGCTTCAGCAGCATCTCCAAGGTTTTCCTTTTGTTGCCATGCGGCTCTTTCTGCATCTGTTTGTGTGTTTGTGTGTGTTTTATTTATGCATGCAGAGGGAAGGCGGGGCCGTGTGTGATGACCTGTCACTGATAAAGAGTTATGAAGTGATTGAGGAAGTGCGGCTGCAGAACACTTCCTGCATCTCTCTCTCTCTCTACTTTGTGGTTGTCTGCAATGCAAGGTTGAAGTGTTGTTGTTGTGACCTGGTTTGTTCCTGCTGCAGGTCATGGTGACAAAAAAAACCCTCTACTATCCTGTGAAACAGAGCGTGGGAGAACCTGTTTTTTATGCATCTATTTTTGGCGTTGCATATCTGAGCGTGCATGCCAAAATACTGTGTCTCACCTCGACCATGTCACAAACGCTGCTTTACTTTATTTAAGTAGAGGTTCAGGTATCTGTACTCGGCTTGTCAGGATTTGAATCTTCAATATGATTCTAGTTAAAATCAAAGGAAACTGATATCTTTGTTGAAACCACAGCAACCAAAATAGAAGTTCTAGGAATCCAGTATTATTCCTCCCTTCCTCCAAACTCCTGCACAACATCTAAACTACACAAAAATGTGAGAGCAGCAGGTTGATTCAACTGGAAACTGGAACAACTCTAAATTGTCAGAATAGTTGCCAACATATTTGTGCAGTTTAGACATTCTGCCTTCTTCAGTGTGACCTCTACTTGAGTGAAATAGTTTCCACTTTGCAGAGCTCATGCATTCCTTCATTTTGATTGTTCCATGTTCAAATACTGCATGCAACTTCAACCTTCGCTCATATATCCCTCATCCTTTTGTCCCTGTTAACTCGTCTGTCTGATTTATTTCGGGGTCTCGGAGCTGATTTCGCTCGTCTTCTCCGCACAGGAAATCAGAGGGCACCCCTACAGGGCTGCAGGAAATGAACGGGGGAGTCAGTTGTTATGCCGCCAGCCGTCTTTCTCACTGTTGTGTAATTAAGTCTAATCCTGAGACCTTGTTGTTGTGTGGGTGTTGCAAATTACTTTCTCTGCCAGCATTCAAAGACACTTTGAGTTGTTTTTGTTTCTCTCTTTTCTTTTTTTGCCTCACACTGAGCGTCTGAGCTTTTGTGATGTTCGTCATCCTGTTTGTCTCACAGCACTCTCCTCTCTCAAACATATGGTCGACTGGCAGCCTCTCACGCCTCTTCTCTTTTTCTGCAGAATAAAGTGGTGGACGTGGACAACATGAAAGTCAAACTCCAGGTGAGGACGTGCAACCTTTTCCTCTCCGTCATCTTTTTACGGCAGCTGCTGACCTTTGAGTCAATCTGAACTCGTCTGGCAGGTTTTTGCAGAATCAAACAAAGACACAGACGGATTCCTCTCGACCCAGTTATCTTTAACTCTTAATTCACTGTCGTTGTTGTTTGCATTGCCAAAGTCTCTGATGTCTTAGTGGAGAGGAGCGCTGCAGGTATATCGAGCTGTTAATCTAAAAAGCACATTCTTTTAACACCGAGTGGGAGAAGACAAAATTAGATTTCTCTTCTTGCTCCAGTGAGTTCTTCACTCTTTTTTCTTTCCTGCACTGGCCTTGCACATAAAAAAAAACACTTGTGATTATTTCTAAAATAGAGTCTGCCGGTGAGAGTCTGAACGGAGGCAGGGAGAAGGATATATTAGAGATCTACGAGCTGGAGGAAAGTGCTCGGGTTCAGTTTTCAGGCTGGCTGGAAGTAATGTTGAATTATATGTTGTTTTAATAAGTCTTGGATCATTCTGTTATGATCCAAAAATGATCTCTGCATGTGGAGAAAGTCAATGCGTTTCAGTTAATGTAGTTAATATACAAACCTGTACATGTTGAAGATAATGTTTAAAAAAGAGGACTATACAGACTCCATGGTGTGGCTGTGGCTCAGTGGTAGAGTCAGTTGTCTCTTGATCTGAAGGTTGGGGGTTCGATGCCTAGCTCCTGCAGCCGCATGTCGGTTGTGTTCTTGGGCAAGACACTTTTGTGTTCATATTTTTCTGTATATGTTGGGAAAGTAAACAATGATAAATCTGTTCTTAGCTGCAAAGATGTTTAAGTTTAACTCTTCTAAAGCTAGGCCTGTTAACCTATTTATTAGCACGTCTAGCGTACTGTTTTCATCCCCAAATGATGCGTCTACATTACAGGAAGAATGTGCGACGTGTTCCACATAAATACATCATAAATCCAGTCTATCCTGTGTAGATGTGTCTCTGAGTCATGACTGTCTACAGTGAGTGAGAAGCTCGAGTCCCGCTGGCTGTGTTGTTGTCAGAGCTGTGTTTACATGGACTGGGCGGCCGGCTCCTCCCCTTGTGCATAAAAGCTACAAGCTAACTAAAGAGCGCTGACATTAGCATGCTAACACAACAATGCAGGTCACAAGTGATTGCAGCCGGAGCAAAGGACAAGTTTGTCCACAGCTTGGGCTTCATGGTTCTTAATTATGGTGCGTTCTAATTGATAACGCGAGGGCGGAGGCTTCAGTATGGAGGAGGCGTGGCCTAACAGCAGTTTGTTTTGGTTTCATGCTGGAGCTAGAGGGCGACATCTACTGGATCAAAAAGTCACACATTCTTCCTTTTATAACAAATTAAAGTACCGGGGGTGAAAGTTCGTCATAATTAATGTATTCCATTTCCAGTCAATAGAAGTTTAAAAGGCTTAATTTAGCTTTAGCAACATTAGCTAGCTTCTCTAAAGCGGCTCCTCTTTGCTCTGACTCTGCAGTTTTATTTATTAGTCTGCTTTGTTTTTAAACATACAGTTCTATAAATAAGGAGCATTTTGGTTTGTCATCGTTTTGTGTCGGCTGTGGTTTGGAGGAATTTCTGCTGTGAGCTCTCGTGTCATTCTGTGGTTTGTTTGTTACTCAGATCTGGGATACGGCGGGCCAGGAGAGATTCCGCAGCGTAACACACGCCTACTACAGAGATGCCCAGGGTAACCTCTACTGTGTGTGTGGTGTGTGTGTGTGTGTGTGAGTGAGAGAGAGTGTGTGTGCGTGTGTGTGTGTGTGTGTGTGTGTGTGTGTGGTGGGTGTGAGAGAGAGTGTGTGTGCGTGTGTGTGTGTGAGTGAGTGAGAGAGAGTGTGCGGCGTGTGTGTGTGTGTGAGAGAGAGAGAGTGTGTGTGTGTGAGTGAGTGAGTGTGTGTGTGTGTGTGTGTGTGAGAGAGAGAGAGAGTGTGTGTGTGTGAGTGAGTGAGTGTGTGTGTGTGTGTGAGAGAGAGAGTGTGTGTGCGTGTGTGTGTGTGTGTGTGTTGTGTGTGTGTGTGTGTGTGTGTAGGAAGAGCTTGTGTAGGTAAGGGATCAACCAGGATGAGGTGTGTACTTTTTATGTGTGTGTAGGTGTGGATGTGTTTGTTACATAAGATAATAAACTTTAACAAGTGTCTGTTTTGCTCTCACAGCGTTACTGCTGCTCTATGACATCACCAGCAAGCCGTCGTTTGACAACATCAGGGTGAGAGCGCCTCGCTTCACTCTCTCTCTCCTTCTTCTTCTCTTTTCCTCAAAACGCCTCGCTGTGTCCATTTACATGCAAAGTACCAGGAGGGCTTTTCACCGCCGTCTTTTTAAATGACATGATGTTATCGACACGGCTCCCAGTTTGAGGAATTAAAAGCAATAAGAGAGTGACTCAGCGTGTCTGTGATTGATGGAGGACGCATTTTTAAAGCTCTCAGTGATGATATTTATTAAGTTTAAACTCTAATCTCTCTCTCTCTCTCTCTCTCTCTCTCTCTCTCTCCTCCTGTATGTGTCTGTGTTGTTCTCTCGTAGGCCTGGCTCACGGAGATACACGAGTATGCCCAGAAGGATGTGGCCATCATGTTGCTCGGCAACAAGGTGAGCAAAGCTTCCCTTTTTTTTTTTTTTGCGTTACATAAAAAAGATCAGGAGGATAACTGCTCCCGTTGCACAATTTCGAAACATCGCTTATCACGCTCATGCAGACGTGCTGCCGCTTCAAAGACTGAACGTACTTCCGCTCCGCTGCAAACGCTTGAAAGCAACCTGCTCGTTTAGAGATTCAGACGAGAAGAACGCTCCTAATTATGTTTTTTGTGTGTTCATTAACTTCAGTTATCAATGTGCACACGTTTCCTCTTTAATGAAAATAAAGTAAGAGACCCAGAACAATGCAAATCTCTCAACATGCGGGGGATTGTTATCAGATCTTTATGACTTTCAGGATTCTTACAAAGATGGAAAAGTGCTGAAATAGATTTTTAGAAAATTCTTTGTCTGGAAAAATGTGAAACAAAGAGAGAAGAGAGTATTCAGGATAACTTGTAGGTTCTTCCCAGTTGCCTTTTTTTTGTGAAAAATAATATTTTTAAAGGAAAGGCTGCATCGCTTTTTCTATGCATCCATACATATCTGCATAAAAAGACAAATATGATTCAACTGCTCTAAACATGCATGAGAGGTACAGGTCATCATGAGAGTATACAGACAACTTTAAAAGTGACCTCATTATCTTCATATAGCAGAGAAAATGTGAAGATGTAAAAAGAAAGAATCATGGACTGTAAAAGAAACAAAACTAACACTTGCTTCAAGCTTGATTTGATTGAACTAAATCTCCACAAAGCTGCCGGTGCTAGAAAGAGAAAATCCTCGTCTCTCATTGCGACCAGCAGTCGTTGCTAATATCTCAATGAGCGCCCTCTGGTGGTGCTGCGAGGACTCCACCACCTTCGGCAGGGTCACAGATGTCGCTCAGCAGCAGCTCAGATGGTTTCTCTCTTCCTGCTGGAGGACGAGTCTCTGACAGGTCATCGGTCTAAAGCGCTGGAGGAGACGGCGTTCAGCTGAACACGATGGTGCAGATCTGTATCTCATGAATCCTCGCGGCCCTGCGTGACTTGTTTTCTCCTCCTGCTGTTCTCTTACAGTCAGACATGGCTGCAGAGCGGGTGGTGAAGACGGAGGACGGCGAGAAGCTGGCAAAGGTAGAGTGATGAACGCTCCTTTATTCTAGATAATAAAACACACTCTCCACGTCTCTGCTAACGTGTTTCCATCTTAGGAATACGGCGTGCCGTTTATGGAGACCAGCGCCAAGACGGGAGTAAATGTGGAACTGGCTTTTCTCGCTATCGCAAAGTAAGTGTCAATAAGTAACTCTGACTCCTAGTGGTTAAAACGGGTACTGCAGTCCAAATTCTAAACATCATAGAGAGCTTTCTCCCCCGCCCCCTCCTCTCTAGAGTCGATGCTCACTCAGGTTGCCATGTGGTGGATTCTGAAGCTTCAGTGTTTAGCCAGCTCTGCATGGGTCTGTAAACCTTTCTGTTCTAACCTCTCTCCATTTTTCAAAAGCATCTCCAATATTGATCCTAGTTTGAGCACGTTTCTGCTCCTGGAGCTTATTAGAAACATGCAGAGGCTTTTTAGATCGGGTACAATCAATTCTATCTGAACCACTTCTCTTGACCCGCTTCCATCACTGCAACACCTGTTGACCTGATAACTGACCCCTGACCCCTGACCCCGTGTCGTGGTGAATTTCCCTGCTGAAATGGGATAGAACCAATCACAAGATAGAAGGTGTGACATCACGTTGGGATTCATTTGATTGGATCGTTAGCTTTGACAAAGCTTTTAAATTAGTCAAATATTAGTCAACGCCCGGATTGCAGAACGAGTCATCAGACGTTTGAAACGTTTAACAGGAAGAGAAAATACGGTTATTAGGACGTAAAAATCTCTACAGAAATATATTTGGCAGAATGTGGAGGAACGCTGGATTAAAACCAGAGAATGTCTTTTTTATTTCATGGAGACATTGAAGAGCTGATCAGAGTTTTGGGATCAGGGGTCTCGGGGGTCCTTCAGATATTAGACTCTCTTTGGTTTATTGGATTGGCTGAGTGAGGAGAACGGAGTGGCATTTAGGGTGGCCAATCAGGATTCAGAGGTGGGCTTCTCCGCCCCTCTCTGGAGACGCTCCTGGCTCCTGCACTAATTAACACTGAGGACTCATAAACGGTTTGTTTTTTAATCTGTTTCATGCAAACAGCTCTGAGTCTCGCTCTGACTCCTGCGACACTCTCGTGGTTTTTACTAATTTGTTGTTCTGACTCGTCGAGCGTTCACGCCGACGCTCCCTGTGGATCTCAAACATTCATTTTTTTTGTAATTTCTGATCTTACTGACTTCTTCCTGTTCACACCTTTTTCTCTCTTATAAAGGGGAGGGAACATGAAGAAGACGGTTCTTCAGTCTTAAATTGACTTAGTGCAGCAGGTTCCCCGAGCGCTGACAGAAAATAATGTGGATGATTCTCTGTCTTCCTATGAAAGACATTTTAAGTCGGAGTTAGATTAAATGATTCATGCTCGAGGCTTTTTGATTAAATCTCTGCTCAGAGGGATGTTTCTCGCCGCTCGCTCTTATTTCTCTTCCCATCTCATTTTCTCGATTCGCTCGCCCTGTCTGTGCTGCATCCCACACATCCACCCCCTCTCTCTCTAACTTTCTCTCTCTCTCTCTCTCTCTCTCTCTCTCTCTCTCCCTCTCTCTCTCCCTCTCCATCAGGGAGCTGAAGCACCGAGCCACACAGCAGCCCAACGAGCCCAAGTTCCAGATCCACGACTACATCGAGTCTCAGAAGCAGAAGTCAGGCTGCTGTGGCATGTAGCCGAGAGAGAGAGAGACAGACAGATAGACAGTGTGCGAGAGGAAGAGAGAGCCAGAGAGGAGAGAGAGAGAGAGAGAGAGAGAGAGGGCAAAAGAGTCAGAGAGCGAGAGACAGAGAGAGAGGGAGAGAGAGAGAGAGAGAGAGGGCGAAAGAGACAGAGAGAGAGAGAGAGAGAGAGAGGGCGAAAGAGACAGAGAGAGAGTGAGAGAGCGAGAGATAGGGAGAGAGAGAGGGAGGTAAAATGTCTGCTCTCGTAACAAAAGCCAATCCAAGCACCATCGCCCCCGAGAAGAAGTGGACGTCCTCGGCTTCTCCTCTAAACTTTGAGATGAATCCGGATTGGTCGCCATCCCTAAACTGAAATGTGAATCAATCAATTTCTTTTATGTCACGTGTTACAAATGTTTGTGGTCTCTGTGGTGACGGTTGTCAGGGGTTACGATCTGAAATTCTATATCCATCTGCACCGCTGCAAACTTCACACAGAACATGTTGCATTCAACGAGTAACTATACAACCTCAAATTCTTCCTGAACCTTTCCTCCGATCATATTTAGAAAACTCGAGCGGTGTGAGGGTCACAGAGGAGGCGGTCTGAGTTACGATCTGTGCAGAACTGGAAGATTTTCCAGCCTCGAGGAGTTTCTGTAACTCTGCTAGAACAAAAAAAAATATTGAGTGTCCAAGCTTCTGCAGCCAATAGAAGCATATTAAAGTGAAAGTTTGGATTAGGATAAAGGGGACAGCTGGTTGTATGAGGTAGTCGGTTATAGTCAGAGTTTTCCCAGACAGCACGGCTCCTGTCTGGAGAAGTAAAGCTACAGAACGGACACAGAAGCTGAACTATGAAACTAGCAAAACACATTTCAGCATCTTAAAGAGAGAGTCAAATAATCATCATCAGTTTAACTGGAGCATATTCAAATAATTTTAGTATTTCCCCTTCCTGTTGGACAGACCTTTAGCACTGGAGGTTTCTTCTTGCTCACTGCAGGAGACAGCCTCTAGTGGACTCTTTAGGAACTGCACTTTTTTGCATGGGCTTTATTTTTTAACACCTGAGCTTGCTGCCTGCACATGAGGTCACATTGTGTTACATTTAAGATCAGCTGTTTTGCTCACAGAGTCCAGTGGTGAACTCGAACAAAAATCCAACTTCACTTTGCAGAAGAAACAAAACAAAGAGTGTCCACCAATCACCTCTTGACTGATCGATGTGGCTCGCTGCACTGAATGCAAACATCAACTTTCAGAATGCAGAGTAGGTTCAGCTATACAAAGAGTTTGTGTTGGTTGTTTTGGTGCAAAAACTGTGAGCATCTGGAGGTAGAATAAAAAGTAGAGAGGTGGTAAATACTCCTACTGCAGAGGAACCCAAATAAAAAGAGAAACAATGTGATGTAAAATATGTAAAACAGGTGAAATAAAGAACGGTACAGTGGTGCCAGCGTTTACAAAAAGCTTATAGTATAAAATGCTGAGACGGCGTGCAATTTAATCTGATGCTACGTCAACGTTTAGACACTCGTTCTGAAGAGGTTTGACTTCTCCAAACAGGAGCTGTGCTGACATCGACCTTCTGTAGGTTTAAAACTGATATATTTAAATTTACAATCGTTCAACTTCACCTGAAATATCTGAAATACCGCGCTCCACTGAAGTCACTGTGGTCAGAGTTAGCTTAGCCACGTTAGCTTTGTTTGGCTTGAGGAGTTTGCAGGTTTGACTCGTTATAAAGTTATCTTATAAAAAACATGAAAGGTGTGTTGATTTGGATAAAGCATTTCTCTCGTCTCAGTTTTTCAGGCTCTGAATCCTTTTGGCCTCTCAGTCTTCATCACGTTTCTTGTTTTTTATGATCCATGTGTTTGAGACGTTCAGACTTCAGTCTCAGATTGTAGCTCAATGATCCGTCTGTTCACATCTGTACTGCTGTTAGAATAAAGCCCGCGCCTGAGGGCGCTGCCCGCTCTGTGTGTGTGTGTGTGTGTGTGTGTGTGTGTGTGTGTGTGTGTGTGTGTGTGTGTGTGTGTGTGTGTGTGTGTGTGTGTGTGTGTGTGTGTGTGTGTGTGTGTGTGTGTGTGTGTGTGTGTGTGTGTGTGTGTGTGTGATCTCATGATCTTTAATGATCTTTAATACGTCATCTTTGGTTGGAGGTTTCCCAGCATGCAGCTTTCTTCTTACACTCACACACGCTGTTGTCTCTTTTTCGGGTAGACGTTGTTGTGTAGACCCATGGTTCTTGACTGGTCGAGCCTCAGGACCCCCCCCCCCCCACCAACCTCCTTCATGGAACATCCCGACCCAAATCGCTGACATTTTTATTGACTGATTTATTTCATTAAGAGTTCTTCATGTTTAAAAAACTCATAGTAGACCATTTTTTTTCCACACATTCCCAACCCGCTGACAGCGTCTCCGCGACCCGCTTTGGGGTCCCGACCCACCAGTTGAGAACCACCGGTATAGACTGTATCAAAGCTGTATTTGTTCCCGCCCTGCCTCGTGTCACGATGTTCATCATGAATGTTTGTCCGTCCTCTGAGGCGTCCGGTGATCACAAAGTGCCATGAGAAAGTGCTTTGTTATCGTATTATAAATATAAAAGATCTATTTTGTAATGTTTGTGCTGTTGTTTCACTGACGTCCCGTCTGTGTGTCCTCTGTGTGTGTGAGAGTCACTGTACAGTGACAAGGTGTGATGAGGTTAATGAGCCACTGTGTGGCAGCAGCGACTCTGTTTATTCTCCAGTTTGATGCAGTAAAGAAAGGTGACGATCAGACAGAGGGGGGGGGTGGGGGGGGTCGGGGGTCTGTGAGAGGATGTGATTTATCAAGGAAATACATGTACATACTGAATAAAAAAAACACTGTTTAATAAGAGTTAAATAATTAAATGAAAAGATCATAAAAGTGTTTAAAAAGTGATGTAAAAAAAATCCTTCAGGCATTAAATGTGTTTATAAAGTTCAAACTGTGTGTTAAGTTTTATTCATGTGCACAAACATGAAGCGACCTCACTGGTAACTTATCTGAACACAAAAGTGATCTGATTACTCACCTGTTAAAGGTACACTCTGGAGTTTTGGTAGAGAAATGTTAAAGTTGGAGAAGTGTACAAATTCTGTTCATAACTCTAAACACAAACTGTTCATATGCAACATGTGCTCGCTGTAACTGAAGAGTCAAGAGTGAAACCGTTACTCTCCTGGTAGCTTTTTTAGCTGCAGCAGTGTTTCAGGGAATTTATTCTTTGAATAAAGTTTGAGTATTGAGTTCAGAAAATTGTTTCACTTCTCAAAGTTTGAAATCTTGAGAAATTAACTCCAGTTTTGTAACGGGATAAATAAGTTGAGATCTCGAGAAAAACAACTCGACATGACTCGTTATCAAAGGAAAATAAATAAAATATTTGTTAGTTTGTCTGCTCAGAGTAAAATAATGTGGAAAGTAAGACCTGATGGTACGGAAGCCCTAAGGGGACATGCATGAAATCAGAAAATCAGTCTCAGAGCTCCTCAAAACATGTGTGTGAAGTTTCTTGTTCTAAATCCACTCTGATCCTGTATTTGATCATGTCTATAAACCCCTCTATTTCAGCCCTGCTCAGAACAGGCTGTTTCTGTGTCTGTACCTTTAAATATGTAAATGAGATATGTCTGACCACGCCCCCTCTCTGGAAGGGCTCGGGTGTCTCGGTGCTTTCTCGCGCCATGCCCTATTGTTTACGGTGAGAAGGCAGATTCAGAGGGCAGAACAAACACCTAGCTGTGGGAGTGTCACCCACCTGGGGGAGGGGCTACTGCCCTTTGTGATGTCATGAAGGGAAAATCTACAAACGGCCTGTTTGAGCACACATTTTCTGAAAAGTGGAGCAGGCAGAAGACGGAGAGGATGGACTTTTCTCATCATTGGGGGGTTTGTAGACGGGCTAGAGACACATGTTAGTGTTAGAGGAACATGGGGAAGTGGATTTGACCTTTAATCTCCTTTTTCCTGTGATAATGAGCAAATTTCGATTGTTGTTTACAGAGATTTTGACATATCCTGTTTTTATCAGACATAACGAGTTCATTTCAGCCAGATGTTCAGAAATCTACTCGCTATGGTAACGGAGCATGTTCATCCCTATAGGTAACAACGGAAATGTACTTGTAGTCACTGGAATATTTAGTAAAAATCAAATGTATGTAAATATGTCTGCTTAGGGCTTCTGTACAAAGCAATGAAAGTATCCAGAGAAACAGAAAAGTAAAGACTTTAAAAAACAGTCATAACAAATATCTGTCATCCCAAATCTCTCCACAGCAAACTTTAAACTTTATTCTCCGTAAACGTAACCCTGGATCGCTTGAAAAGTAAATGAATAGTCCTAAATGAAACACGAGTTAGATTTCCTGAGCAGCCTGTTTTTTTCCTGGACAGTCCCGGGTGGTGTTTCCTCCTCAGCCCTCCCTGCTCTGCATGAGGCAGCCAGCTGGGCAGGTCCGTGAACGCACCTCCCTCTTCCTGAGAGGCTTTGCGCAGAGAAGCAGAGGTAGTCCCGTTAAAGACCTCAGACCCGGGTCAGGACCCTGCAGTATAGGCTACACAGGAGCGACCCACAGAAGGAGGATTCAGAGTCCGGATCAGACTCTCCGTGAAAGTGGACTACAGAGACCAGCAGCAGCGTTTCCCACGGTCTGATCTCCCCAGCAGGACGGTTATTGGTGTGTGCGTGTGTTCAGTGCTCAGTTTTACAGCAACAGGTCGAGGATCAGCTGCAACATGCCGAGTAAGAGCCAGTACCTGCGCCCCCGGCTCTGCAAGTTGGAGAAGGGCGACAACGGCTACGGCTTCCACCTGCACGGAGAGAAAGGTAAGACCGGACAGTTCATCCGGTTGGTGGAGCCGGACAGCCCGGCGGAGGTGGCGGGGCTCCGCGCTGGAGACCGGCTGGTGTTCGTGAACGCGGAGGACGTGGAGAACGAGAGCCACCAGCAGGTCGTGTCCCGGATCAGAGCCACCGTGGGCTGGCTGGAGCTCATCGTGGTGGACCCGGACACCGAGCAGCTGCTGAAGAAACACAACATGAAGTGTCTGAAGGAGTACGTTACCGAGGGAGTCCCGTTACCCCTCGATGAGGAGGAGGGGGAGGAGGAGGGAGAGGTGGAGGTGGAGGTGGTGGTGGAGGAGGATGTGGAGGTGAACGGGACAGAGATAGAAGATGAGCAGCTCGAGAAGAAGAACGATGTGGAGGAGGAAGAGGAGGAGGAGGAGGAGGAGGAGCAGGAGGGGACACCCAGAGAGGCGACCCCGGTCCCGGAGAGCAACGGAGGACTTCACGAACACGTGGAGAAAAAGCTGAGCATCGAGTCAGAGAAGGTGAGTCAAACTTTTCTCCTTATATTTCTTTACGTAATGCAGGAGCTTTAAACATGAGAGCTGCAGGATGCATCACTGAAGCACAGTTTTTTCTAGAAAGAGTCAAACATGTGAAGCACGCTGCACCCACACATGCAGCTGAGCGTGTAGGGCTGCAGAACATGTGGGCAGGATCAGCTGTGAGAGGACACAAACAACCTGAACTGAAGAATTCAAGGAGAGAGAAACATGAGAGCTGCAGGATGCATCACTGAAGCACAGTTTTTTCTAGAAAGAGTCAAACATGTGAAGCACGCTGCACCCACACATGCAGCTGAGCGTGTAGGGCTGCAGAACATGTGGGCAGGATCAGCTGTGAGAGGACACAAACAACCTGAACTGAAGAATTCAAGGAGAGAGAAACTTTCTCCAGACTTTAACCTCTCAGGGAGAATGACGGAGTTGTTCCTGAGCAGTCTGTTTTTTGTTTTTGGGACCCTTCTGAGCTTTTGACGGTCTGATGCCCGTCCCCCCAATTTAAACTGTTTTACAAACTCGTTTGTCCCCACGTCCACCACAAGTCTGAATACTGTGAAATCAGGCTGTATTGGTTGTGCAATAGTGGGTTCTTATCTTGTCTTTCTCATCTTTTCTCTTACTTAAAACTTTTTTTTAATGTTTTTTGCAGATCTTGTGCAATATGGGTGGTGTGGTGCTTCTGTTGTTTGTTGTTGTTTTTATTGATTCTACTGTAGAGACAGCACTCTGAGTCCAAGACAAATTTCTCCAAGGAGACCATAAAAAGTAGTGTATCTTATCGTATTCACCGTGTGGTACGGTATTGTATCATATCGTTTAGTATCACAGCACATCGTATCATATCAAAGAGTCTCATCCCGTGTATCGTGTATCGTGTATCGTGTATCGTGTATCACTTTAGCACAATCTGTTTTTTCTTTTAAAGACATTAAGGAATGGAATAATCTTCCAACTAGTCTTAAACTTTGCACAAACTTCTACACTTTCACCTGGGAAGTCAAAAAATTTATTTTAAGTAACCGGTCTTGTCAGCATTAATGTGTCACCTTGACAACCTTTTACATCTCAGGGAAACTCTAACATAATGTTTTAATATCTGTAAATTGTTCGGTGTCTTTCTTCTCTTTTATGAAATGTGTGTGTTGTGTGTTGTGTGTTGTGTTTGTGTGGTGGTGTGTGTGACTGGTTGATTTGTATTTTGCTGTTTACATCATCTGCCCAGGGACAACAGATGGAAATTAGCTAGCTAGCTAGATCTGGTACAAAGCATCTCTTCTTTTCTGAGACTAATGTTTTTTTGTGCCCTGCCCCTGATTCCAATAAACGATTAAACTAAAAAAAAATATATATATTACCGCACCATAACTGAACTATTAAAACAGTGTCAACATCTATCATGATGATGTAATCATCTGCTTCAGTATCAGTGATTTTTACATTTGAGTAAACTGAGGAGCTTTCCAGGAAATCACAGTTTACCGTTTTCTAACAAGTTAAGACCAAACTCGATTAAATGAGAAGATATCGTACAGACGGAGAATGACTGCACTCTGACTCTCCAATGCGACGGCTTTATGAAGTGGTCAGAGTATACAGGCGTTAAAAATGGGAAAGTGTTGTAAACGAGTGTGGCAGTAAAGTCGTGCAAATCATTCTGAAGTTTTTATTTAAAGTGCAAAAAAGCACCAGATTACAAGAGTTTATTCAAACTGAAATGTGATGGTCGACGTGAAGTCCACGGCGTGACAGACATCAAAAAGGCGCTGAAGACAAAAACAGTTTGAGACTCGACCAGGACGAGAATATCTGACATAGCAAATACGAAATCTCCACAGTCACGAATGAATTTTTTTCAAGGGTCTCCATCTGAAAAACTAATGAGAATTCTCGCTCTGCAGAGCCACTTGTTGCTGGGTGTGTGTGTGTGTGTGGTGTGTGTGTGTGTGTGTGTGTGTGTGTGTGTGTGTGTGTGTGTGTGTGTGTGTGTGTGTGTGTGTGTGTGTGTGTGTGTGTGTGTGTGAGTCAGGATCAGGGTTCATTAAAAAGCTCTTGAGGAGGAGGAGAGGGTCGGTCCGGTCTGGAACATCTGTGTCCTCTCTCTCTCTCTCTCTGTGCCTCCTGCATGTTTATCCCCGAGGCTGTTTGTGTCTGCGTCCAGCTCTGCTCCACCTCAGAGAGACAGACAGAGAGAGAGAGAGAGAGAGAGGGCAGACAAACAAACACAAAAAGGACCAGGATGTGCTCTTCTTCTTGTTTATCTCTTACAGGTGTCCATGCAGCATGGTGGTTTGAACTTTTCCCTCACTACCCGCCCCATAAAGAACCATCACTGACCTAGAGGTGGTGCATGGGTCTGTAAACCTTTCTGCGTTCTAACCTCTCTCCATTTTTCAAAAGCATCTCCAATATTGATCCTAGTTTGAGCACGTTTCTGCTCGTGGAGCTTATTAGAAACATGCAGAGGCTTTTTAGGTTGGGTACAATCACTTCTATCTGAACCACTTCTCTTGCCCGCTTCCATCGCTGCAACACCTGTTGACCTGATAACTGCTCTCATCTCTGGACGCCTTAAAACTGCCTACCTTCTCTGGTCCAAACAAATCCAGAGCATTCAGGAGCAGAATCTAAAGTTAGAAGGAGGACATACTGGCTGCTGCATTGTTGTCAGAGAAGCCAGCACTTCAACATAGCATGTTTCCTTAATGTCTGATCATATAGTAAGATCACTTTATCATTTCACTCTCTACACATCTTATTGATTGGACCTTTAATGTTCAATGAAAAAAATATTTGTCTTAGTCCTTCAATTAGGAGTAAGAAAGTGAGATCTCTGTTTCATGTGATCCACTAGTGGAAGAAAAGTGTCCCAAATATCTGCTGGGATAAAAGTTTGGATTGGACCTTTTCCTCCACAAACAAACCTCAAGATGTCTGTTTTGATGTTTTCCCACAAATCATTATTTCTAAAAGATGAGAGAGGATTTAGATTTGACCTTCTCTTTAGTGTAACGTGCAAAGCAGCCGTACTTACAAGTTACATTTCTCACCGCGCTCTCACCTGTGCACAGCATTGGAGCTCTGCAGGGTGACGTTGTTTGTCATATATACAGCGATTGGTTCCTGTGTTTACTCCTGATGCTGTGTGCAGATGGGCCTGATGTTGGGCTGTGACTGTGCGACTCACACTGTGGCACGCAAACCCAGAGGGAAGGGACGTCCAAACAAACAATCCAACAAACTCGCTTTGATTTCATCCTCACAGCTCCAATCAGGCCGAGCTGATTTTATGTCTTTACGAAATCAGGATTTCTCAGGATGAGGAAGTTACTCGGGGACATGAACCATAGCAGTGTGTGTGTTTGTGTGTGTGTGAGCGTGTAAATGAGACCCCAGGGAAGCGGTGTAGAGTCTGCTGTGTGTCTCTCTTACACTCTGAGGCACCTCAGGCTCTGTTTTTCACACAGACTCTACTCCTTCTGGAATTTTCTTCATACATCCTGTCCGGGATTCCTGTGCCCGAGCCCTGTGGCCCAGCCAGTAAAACACACACACATACACACACACACACACACACACACACACACACACACACACACACACACACACACACACACACACACACACTCACACACTCTTGTACAGCCTTGGGCAACATACACACTGACGTCCTCCCGTCTGGCCTCATGTCTTTACAGCGACACAAAAAGAGGGTTCGAGAGGGAGCGAAGCCTACTCCAGAAAAAAAACTCGCTCAAGGTTGCCATGGTTACGTTGATGTTGTGTGGTGTGTGTGTGTTTCTGTAAGTGTGAGGATGGAGGTAGGCGAAAGTGAAGCAGGGAAAGGGAAGGTGTTAAAAAAAAGGATCTGAGCGGCGATGAGGGTTACAGCATGAGGAGAGAGAAATGAGCCCCACACACACACACACACACACACACACACACACACACACACACACACACACACAGGGCCGGTTCCAAAGGTCTTTGTTTTCTTTCCTGGGCAGAACATTTTTCACCCCTTGGTCGTCGTTGAGTGGATCAGCTGTGCGCTCTCCCACTCACTCAGCTCTGGTTACTTTACATAACAAATATATTCCAGTGACTTCCATGCAGCGTGGTAAACAACATTTAACCCTTTGGAGACTGATTTACTCTGAGCGGACCTTAGAGATTGTTGTTGACTTCAATCTTTCTTAAAGGCTTTCTATGTGATTTTTTTGATCCAGCAGATGTTGCCCTTGAGCACCATCATGAAACCAAAACAACTCGCGCTGCATTGTTGTGTTAGCATGCTAATGCTAGTGATCTTTATTATGCTCGTATCTTCACACTGCATGTAAATTTACCTGAAATGAGCGTGATCTAGAAACACAGTTAAGCAGTGAGTACAGTATGTTATTCTTCTTTTCTCTAGTCCCTCAATTAAACAACTTTTATACGTGAGGGGAGGAGTCAGCCGGCCGTCCTGACGATGTAAACAAACTGAAGATAGGACTCTGAAAACATCACAGACAGTGGGGCTCGGGTGTTACACCCATTGTAGACAGTCATGACTCACAGAGTTATTTTCAGAGGATATACTTGATTTATATTACATTTAAGTGTGAAAAATCACATATAAAGACTTTATATCGAAATGTACAAAAAACGTTTTAAAAAAAGATGCAACTTCTTTATAAGACAGGTTTGAAGGAGAGGAACGAATCCATCAAAAAACGTCCAGACAAACTCCTGCATATCCTCCTCGATATGGCATTATATCGTCTTGTGCTCCATGCAAACTCATGTATGGATGCAGATGTTACAGAATGGATACGGCTGCAAAGCTGTGATGACGGTTTTGAAAGGCGATTGACCGATGGAGCAGTTCATGATAACTCTCTGTGAGAAGTATTGTATCGTGGGGTTGTGGTAAATACCCACCTGACCCCCATGAGGTCCAGATCCCTCAGCCGCTCTACCCCTCCCCCCTGAAACTCCCT